GTTGGACGATGATCACCCTGTCGACGTACGACCCGATGGAAAAACGCATGCCAAATGAAGTACAAATGTACGTACATGGCTGAACTCTGAAGCAACGAAGTTAGGGCCTTGTTTAGATGCCATCCAAATTTTAAGTTTTTTCACTCTCTCTCTCTATCATATCAATTTTTAGCCGCTTGCATAGAGTATTAAATATAGGTAAAAAAAATAACTAATTACACAGTTTAGTTGGAAATCACGAGATGAATCTTTTGAGCCTAGTTGGTCCACGATTGGATAATATTTGCCAAATAAAACGAAAGTGGTACTATACATCGGGTTCAAAAAATTTGCAAAATGAATAAGGCCTAGAGTTGCAGCTGAAACCTGCAGGAAGCATCGATTGCAAATGTGAGCCCGTGTTTAGTTGCTACGCCAAATTCCAAAAAAGTGTTATAATATATATCACATCAAATTTTACGATATGTGCATAGAGCATTAAATATAGACGAAAAAAAAACTAATTGCACAGTTTGATTGGAAATTGCGAGACGAACGTTTTAAGCCTAATTAAACTATGATTGAACACTAATTATCAAATAAAAACGAAAATACTATAATAACCCAAAATCCAAAATTCACCCAACTAAACACCACCTGAATGCAACGCCCCCTACGCTAGTACTACGGTCGCGATCCTACATTCCTGTACTCGATACTCCTGCACCTCGTCCCGGCTCACATGCTCGTCGACACGTCACACGTCGTGTATATGCTTAGGAGTTTGGAGTTTCGAGTTTGGACTGATGACATGATGACGCGACGGGACGCAGGAGGTGGCAGTCGGTACTCAGGAAGGCAGGAACCTGGAAATTGATCCGCACCGGCGTGCTGATGCAGCGCGCTGCTGCTTTCGGTGGATCAGAATATCAGATAGGGTCGCAGCTGCATGTGGGCGGTTGCTGGCCTGGCCGGCGCGAGTCTAGCTAGACGCTGTGTGGTGTGTGGTGTGTGCAAACGAGGCCGTATTGTTCACACCTCGATCGAAATGGCAAAGCCGAGTGGTGGTACTGCCGTACTGATGGACCAGAGCGAGTCGACCACCCGTCCACCCGTACGAAAATCTCGCAAGTCAAAAAATTTAATGTATATATGAAAAGTATATATTAATGTTTATGACATATAATAATTATTATTAAATTAATTGTAGAATATATTTTTACAATAAACTTATCTAAAAATACAAAATTTTCAATAAATCTAGCTAAATTTAAGATTGTTTGATTCCTTAAGGAATGAAATTTCTATTTATTTATTTTTATGAAACTGGAGAAATTTCTTTTTATTTTGGACGGTGGGAATACTTGTTGGTTTCGAAGAAGCCTGGTCGTAAATTTCCAGCCGAAACAGTATTTTCTCTCACACAAACCAGCCAACAGTACTTCTTCACGAACCAGCAACGATACGAACCAACCAACCGAACAGGCTGTGTATCTATGGGATTTGACTCTTTGTTCTTCCTTCAACATATGCATTCACATTGCCAAATTTAACGGCTAGATAATTGTGCTAGTAGTTTTCTAGTCTAGCGCCCCGTCCTCGCAAGGATATGATGTCTGATCTTTGCCTTTTGGCAATCATGAGACGCAGCCAGTTACTAGATCGGTGTATCTTTGCTTTCTCTGACGACACGTTTTACGTGGAGCATCCGAGCATGCATGTGCTGATCCTCTTCGAATGACATTTGTGAGGAAGGTTTGGCGGACCAAGATAAAGATACCACCGAAAGTCATGGTATTTCACCCAAAGGGGGGGAAAATGGAAACCATGATATTCTTGTGGCGTGTGGTGTGATGAAAGGCTACCTGCCGGCACGACAAGTACTTCATCCTCGTACCGAAGCGACCCCTATGTCTGAAGTTTGTTTACACTGAGATCGTAATCCCTGCGGTGTTTTAATAATGAAAGTCATCCTGTCTACGCCCAACAGAAAGTGCTTTGGAACCATTTATTATCGTCAGCTTCACCAGAGATAAATATGCTTTTCACATGGTGTTCGATATCTATTTGTCTTGGGATAAAAATGTCACTTCGAACGTGTGAGTGCGTATCTATTTCTCACAAGCAGACACTTGACAACCAGACAATCAGCTCATTGCCGATATCGGCGATGGCCACAAACATACTACCCATGACGTACGCCTGTTCATACCTGTTCACATGGGCGATGCAAAGTTAGACACCTGAGAGTCTCTCAACAACAGTTACCCAAAATACACGACACATTCCACGTTTAGGTAGCGCTATAGGCAAATGGTTCCATACTTATTTTTGTCTTCTCCAGCAACAAGACCCAAAAGAGAATCCTTTCTAAAAATGGGTCTCCAGGAGAGAGGATACCCAGATTTGGGTTATACCTCTCCTGACACCAAAAATGAGTCTTATATATAATTACTCTATTGGAGGCTATAAGTATTATGTTGAAGACTCATTTTGGGATGGGTATCCTATTGGAGACAGCCAAATGGGACTATGGTGAGTTGGCTACCTGCCCTGTACGACGGTGCAACTGCTGGACTATGGCCCTGTTTGGAGCTACTTCTTGCCCAATTCTAATGGAGAAAAGCGAGCAAACGTCCCCAAACAGTCCAAAGTTAGACACCTAAATGGGACTATGGTGAGTTGGCTACCTGCCCTGATTGTGCCGCCACTACCCCAGCCATTTTTTTCCGTGACGGACCAAACCGTGAGGAAAAAAACCCAAATCCGTCAGGAAAGACGTTCCGTGACGGTTATCGTCAGGGACAAACTGATAGGGAAAGTCCACCTTCCCTGACGGTTGCTTCCTTCAGGAGAGAGTTCCTCCGTCGGGTTTTCTACTTCCGTTAGGAGAGAATTTCCCTGACAGTTGGACACCGTCAGGAAAGGTTTAGACTTTCCCTGTCAGTTACAGTACCGTCAGGAAAGGTCAATTTTCCCTGTCAGTTGCATCACCGTCAGGGAGATTCAAGCTTTCTATGTCAGTCACCCACCGCCAGGGAAACCTTATTTTTATTATCCATGAAAGCTCATTGAACTATTCAAATAATTGATTAACTGATCCTTTTAACCACACACCAGCCAGCATAAAATGCGACACTCAATTGTCTGATACATATAATCATCATTCAATTTGTTCATACATTAGATAGTTCAATGGTCAACAAATCTTAAGATACATTCTAAAGACCTTGCAAAATAAAGTAAGCAAACCCAAGTTACGACATGGGAAATAGAAATTTAGTAACTGCTACTTCCAACAAGCTGCTACACATTCATTCATCTCCATATCCTACAGTCAAAACAAGATAAAAATAACAATTCATGAGAAATCTTGTTAAATATGCAGTAAAACAATATAGCTGATTGCTTGTCTAACGTCTTTGAATTAAAAGAGTGACCATAGAGAGGACTACAATATAGCTCAACGAAACAGCAAGTGGACCAATGCCTTTTGCTTGTATTAGCAGTAACATTCTAAGCTGCTGCTAGTTCCTGTAACTAATGTAGTGGTAGCAGTTCAGTAATTAGTTCTTCCTAATAGGCCATGTGAATGTGTTACAAGAACCGACTTCACAATACTAAAAACAGTACCTCATTAGATCCTGGGGATGCAGCGGCGGTGGCAACCTCGCCTGCGTTAGGCCATGCTTCGCCCATGTTTGGACATGGTCGTCCCGCATCACCACAGCAAGCCGTGTGTAGTCACCCATGTTGTTCCAGAAGCTCATCTCATTTTTCGATTTTTTCCTATCCAATTGTTGTAAATAACACATAGTAATAGTTGCATCAGACCAAAAATAATTTTTGTACCATACAGCAAGAACCAAGCACAGCCAAGGATCTCACCATCATTGTTACAGAGGTGGGGGGAAGGTCTGGGACACTTTGGATCGCACTATGCAGCAGCTGCATGTTCGTAATAAGGCACAGCTCAGTGAGGACAAATAAAGTGAACATCGGGAAACTAATCCATTTTCTCACTTAAATCTGAACCGACTGCAAAGTAAAAGAAAAAAGAAAGAAGTGCACATCATTACATAATGAACAAGCAAATGAGTCCAAATACTAGAAAACAAATTCAGGTAGACACTGCAGTAGATGATCTAACTTATATCTGAAAAAATAGGGGCTGCCTTTGTATTTATTATCTTTTATATTTCCTCTAAGAAAATATCATCTTGCATTTTTTTGCATTTTAGTGCAAATGATCTAGTTCTTTTCTAAAATTTAATACAAATCTTCTCTATTGATACATGCTTGGCAAAATATCGTACTTGTGTTTTTAAAATAATGTATATACTAACAGTGGCGGAGCTTGAAGTAAAATAAAGGGGGGGCATTTGTCAATTGAATCTATATGTACATAAGTAGTGAAAAAAATAATGGGAGTACTTATAATTAAGTCACAGTATACAAAATACATTTGACAACACAATAGCAGAGCATAAAAATTTCTCTAAAAAAGCAACATAAGATCCCGATTGACTACAAAATATGTTAGTCAGCAATTCTAATACACATACTATGTAGAATTTATCGATTGAAAAGTCAGAAAGAAAAAAATAGAAAAATCAACGAGACTCAACACGGTGGATAGCAACGGGAGCAAAGAAAACAGGCTAATGGAGTAACATGCTAACGGCTGAGCCAAGCGGTGGGACAACTGCTACACAATTGCTTTTTTTTATTTTTTAGATGGAGAGAATGCTATACGATTGCTATGTCTACGTAGAGACATGCATGGCTGACCCTGGCCACTCGCTTACAATACATGTAGACTTAGAGCGCATGCAGATTTACAGCTAACTCGCAGACTTCACAGCTCAGGACAGGGGTTTCAGCAAATCACGGAGGCAAGAGGGGCCATGGCCCACTATGGCCCCACGTAGCTCCGCCAGGGCGTACGTGCATGCTAAACGTAACTACGAAGTGCGATGCCTCTAGTTAGTGCCCCGGCTGGCCCTCCGACCTCAGCTGTCCTACAGCAGCCAGGCGGCGGCGCCCAAAACCGAGGCGGCGACGCCCACCTTCCAGACGCCATCGCGGCCACTGGAGGCTGACTTGGGTCCCCGGGCACTCCCGTACCCGTGGTACCCAGCGCCTCCAAAGCCTCTTGAACTTCCACCTTCTTCTCCGCCGCCATGACCGCCGCCTTCTCCTCCGCCATGACGACCGCTGCCTCCCCCGCCACCATGACCACCGCCTCCTCCGCCACCATGGCCGCCGCCGCCTCCGCCGAGCTTGTCTACGACGACGACATGCTCGACCGGCCGCACGGCGTCGTCGATGCCTGTGGGGGCCTGTGCCTGTCTCCCGTCGGCCGCCGAGGCTTCCTGGACCTCAAGGGCCTTGGGAACTCGGGCCGTGTCGGCGGAGCTGAAGACGATCGCCGCGAGCGCGAGGGCAACGAGGAGGAGCACGCTGGCGCGGCGCTGCGGGAGAGCCATGCCGTGCGCACGTGGACGCGGTGTTGCGACGTACGTACGAACGCGGCCGGAAGAGAGATTGTTGAGAGATGTGTTGGCGCCCATCGTCTAGGATGCCTCAGTATTTGTAGCGGAGGAACGCCTGGAGCCGACGCCGCGACGCGTGTGGCCGAATCGTGTTCGAAGTTCAGGCACAGCACTCTTTTTGACAAACAAAAGAAAATTCCATACTTATTTTACCCCAAGGGAGATCCCTTTACCCCAAATGAACTTTGCCTAGGCAATATTTTTTCCCCTTTTTTCTATATGGAACCCAAATAGGAGTAATTTACTCGTGTAAGTGTAATTGTAAAAGTGCCCAATTTTGAACGCATGGAATTTGGATAACCGTACTCGAGTTCACTAGAGGAAACAATATATTTTTCCCTGAAAACTGGGCTAAATTTTATAGCTTCAAATTCTAAATCTGTACCAGCCCCCCTCTAATCCCACGACTACCGGAACCAATTCCTGAGGAAGGACACAATGATTATGAAATGGGAAACACATCTGAACCACCTCAAGCCCCACCACCAAAGACCCTCTATCTTTACCCCCACAAGGTAAAAGCATTAGGTTAGCAAAGAAATCCAAAACCACACAGGGAAAAGGAGCAATCCGTAGAGAAGTTGCCTGTCAAAAGCTAGGACATTTATCACCACCAACAACATAAGAGGAACCTGACCAATTTGAATTTTTTGCGAATATTTGGAGCGTCCACTCACCAAGGCGAACATTGATGCTCTCATGGTGCTAACTGAAGTGGGGGAAAAAACAAGAAGAGAGGCAAGCTAACCAAAGTGGGATATGGAAATACCCAAGAGCAGTCAGTGGCTTGATGGAAGTACTCATTGGCAGCTAGTGTTTTTTTATAGGCTGTTGTGCTCGGTGTTGTTTGGTAGAGATAGTTGTTTTTGCTAGTTGGTTCTAGGGTTGAGATGTTCTTAGTTACTTTAGTTGTTAGTGCAGTTGAGTTGCTAGTTGGATCGTTTTTTACCAAGTTGGCTCAAGGTTGAGCAAGTAGTGGGGCAAAGTCGTTAGGTGTTCGGGCAGTGTTCCAAAGTTGGTCGGGATGAGTGGTGCACTCTTCCAATTGATGGTTTTTGAACCTGGTTTTCACTCAAAAAACTAAGCCAAACACTTATTTTTATTTTTCCGTCTAATAAAAATCACGGCAAAGCTTTTGCCGTCCCTTCTAAGAAAAAAATAGCACATACTTCCCCCACTGATCCACCATATCCATTCAGGTTTGTTCTAACTAATAAGTGTTTTACATTCGCTAAGCGAAAGAACTATCATCAATGGAGAGCAGAAGTGTATTACTCCGATCCTCCACCTCGTCCCGGCTCACATGCTCGGCTACACGTGAGTACGTGACACGTCGTGTATGCTTCGGAAGTTTGGAGTTTGGACTGATGATGATGGGACGGGGCGCAGGAGGTGGGCACTCGGCACTCAGCAAGGTAGGAACCTGGAAATTGTTGCGCACCGGCGTGCTGATGCAGAGCTGCTGCTTTCGGTGGATCAGGTAGGGTCGCAGTCGTCGCAGCTGCGTTTGGGTTTGCCGCTTGCCGGCCGGCTGGTCTAGCGAGACCGCTAGCCGTGTGCTGCGTGTTCACACCTTGATCGAAACAGCGTACTGAACTACCGGTGGACCGAGAGCGAGTCGATGATCCGTACGAAAATCTCGTATCTCATCTATAAAACGTTGCTTTGTGTGGCTTGTGGACGCTCTGCGTGGCAACCGCAAACCTGTCGATTCAAGGGCGGGCACGTATGTTTGGCGGAATATATCTGATATTCTAGAGCTTAGCACGACATCTTGGTTCTTCTGAATTTATTAGTTTCATTCATGCATTGACGTACATTGCTACTCTGTTGCGCTTTTGTGCGGTGTTTAGGGCATATATTTAGATACACATGGATATATACACGCTAGCCTAATTAAATTAGCACATCTCCTAAAGTTCAGTTGCCTGAGTTCTCATTCTCAGGCGACGTGTTCATGACACGATCTACTACTTAAGTGCTGAGCTGACGAAAGGAAGAAGGAAGCCTGTGACCGTTGGCCATCACACGTCGCCTGAACATTTGGAAGAAATCAGGCGCCTGTTTAATAGCAATTCCCTTAAATTAGTTACAGTTGGCTAGTTAGCTAGCTAACAACTAGTTTAAGACTTAGGTAAAAAATTAGTTCACCTATTAGTTCTCTTATTTAGATATACTAGAGCTAATTTAAACTAAGATTAGCTAGCTAACAATTAACTCATGGTATTCAAACATGCCCTTAACAATAATGAAAGCAATACGGTCTAAAGAAAGTGCTTCAAACAATTTATCGTCAGCTCCACCGTGGATAAATAATTAAATAGGTTGCTTTTCACATGGTGTTCGATATGTAATAGTTTTTGACATGGGATAAAATGTCACTTCCAACGTCCGATATTGCGTATCTATTTGTGAGAACCATACACGTGACAACAAGACCTAAAATCGGCTCGTTGCCAAACCTGTACCCACGAGGCAACGACGCGTACTCGTGCCTGTTCACATGGCGATGCAGAGTGCCAGAGTTGCAGACACCTAAAATGGGGGCCGCGTTGAGTTGCTACCAGCTCTGCCACTGTGCCCCTGCCAGACTACCTCAAATGCTACTAGCCTACGGTAGTGATAAGGCAAGCGGCAGGCTCCAGTGCCAACGACAGCAAGTCAGCAACCAAGCAGAGCCATTATTGGACGTGTAGGCCGCCGCGGAAGTATCCGAGTATCCGACGAACGACTAGTACAGTACTACTACATTAGTAGGCTAGTAGCAAGCTGGTGTTGCTGGACTCTGGACTGGAGTCGACGTCGACCACGACCGGTGCGCCCGCGTGAGCTCGAGCTGCGCTTCTCCGAAGGCCGGCGCGCGCGGTGTGCTCCCCTGCATTTGCCGCTTGGCGGAGACAACGCTGATGACACCAGCTGCAGCCGTAGCGGAGCCAAACAATTTCGATGCTCATTATTGAACGACAAGAGTCAAGTGGACCACAAAAGAATTATGGTGGGGACGGCCGGACGGGGGCGGGGATTGTGCAGCAAAATTTGTCCTCGTCTCGTCGTCTAGGAAAACGAATACTAGCACATTTCCCTTGTTTCCAATTAGTAGACATCACAGCTGATGAGCTAATTGTCCGTGATGATTTGGGATGCTTCCGAAGAGAACATGTCAGATTATGAACCGATAGTTGCATGCTAGTACAGTAGTACCCACGGAGCGTAAGTCCTTGTTTAGTTTCACCCAACTTCTAAAAAGTTTCATACGAAGACTGCTATATCGAATGTTTGTGGCCGTGTAAAGCGATTAAATAAACGTGATTTAAAAAGAAAAACTAATTGCACAGTGACAGTTTGATGGGAAATTGCAGACCTAACGTTTTAAGCTTTAATTAGTCCATGTTTGAATACTATTTGCCAAATAAATGCGTGTGCGTGATCACAGAAATTTCAAAATCCAAATTCCTACAACTAAACACAACCTAAAGCCCTGGACTTTGAGATTCTGGACTCTGCAGGCTGCAGCAGTGACAGTGAAGTCGTTGCCACACCCACACGCACCTACACGGGGGCTTTTATTCGCGTGACCATGATGACTCATGGCCCTCATGGTGTGGGTGATCAGAGTTCACAAACTGGGTTCTAGTAATCCACAATTCCACAGCTACCCACACACTTGTGCGTAGATAGATTACAGAACCGCATGCTACGTAGAGTACTCACACACGCATGATGCATCCACCGATCTGCTAGTACGTACTCACCCGGCTATACTGCGTGCGTGCGATCAACACGCAGGTCCGATCCTCATCAGACGATGACCGCCGCCGCGGCGAGTGCGGCGCCCGCCACCCTCCATGCGCCACGGCTGCTCGCACCAGCCTCGTCGCTGCGGCCCCCCGTTGACGTTCGACGCTCCTACAGCGTTGGCGGTCCTCGCGCCGACGCTGCCAGGCCCGGAGCCGGAGCCACCGCCTTCTTCCGCTCCGCCGCCGCCGCCGCCTCCACCACCGCTTCCGACGCTTCCACCCCTGGCACCGCCGCCTCCTCCACCGGCGAGGCAGGAAGCGCCCTGGAAGTGCACGGCCGCGCAGAGCAACAGCGCCAGCGCGCATGGCGCCCTCGTCCCGCGTCTCATGGTCATGGCCTCCCGCTCTCCTTCGCCTCCTCGGTGCGGTGGATGTGCCTGCACGCGCGCTGGCTGGAGTTGGAGCAAGTGGCGAGAGCGCGAGGAGGGCGAGAGGGAGAGGACGGGATGATGCAGAGCGCTCGGAGGGCTCGCCTCGTGTGCTAGGCTGCCACTGCAAGATGGTGCTTTATTGTACTAGCTGGCTAGCTGCACGACGCTGATATTTTCGTAGGACGTCACGCCGTCTGCTTCTCTCTCTCTCTCTCTCAGAAATTGCCTCGGCTGAGTTCCAAAAAGAAATTGCCTCGGCTGTAAATTTGGCTGGTTTGATGAAGTACTCGTTTATTATGTGGAGCAGATTTATCAATTCCAGTATATTTAATTCGGAAGGCCTCTCCTGATGGTATATATAGTTAGAGTTATGTGATTATTATTGATCCAACTAACACGTTGCTTTGCTGGACTTGTTTCGTCCCAGCGTATAAGGGGGTGTTTGGTATATATAGTTAGGAAATGCGGGGTGCCTCAGTATTTGTAGCGGAGGACGGGAGGAACGCGCCTGGAGGCTGAAGCCGGCGCGTGTGGCCGAATCGTGCGCGCTCGAAGTCCAGCACTTCTTTTTTGTCAAACAAAAGAAAATTCCATACTCATGTACCACAAGCGAGTTACCACAATGGAGATCCCTTTACCCCAAAGGAGCTCTGCCTAGGCATTTTTTCCCCTTTTCCTTTTTACTATAGGGACCCAAATAGGACTATAGGAGTAATTTACTCGGTGCTAAATTTTGAACGCATGGAATTCCCCCGGCTATTGTGAGCGTTGGATAACCGTTGTCGAGTTCACTAGACGAAACAAAGATAATTTTCTCTAAATAACAAAATTCATTAGTGCAACTGTGTGAAGTTTGCATTATTTTAAGCACATGCTTTGTTGCTTATCAAACTTTGCCCGCCAAACATTAGGTAGGCTACAGTTCTAATTACGTGACAACATAATGTGAGCCATGTCAAATCATTGGAATGGTTTGACTTGCCCTTAGGTTACTTGTCTATGTTCATTACATAGTATGATTCATACATTTCAAGTAAAATTCAATACATATCTCAGTAGGACTCTAAATCTTAAAGTACAATGCCAAGTCTAAATCTATTCTATATCTAAGATTCTATCTCTATTCTTAGTTGTCCTAATCTATTATTCTAGCCAAGCTTCCTATACATAATCTGACAATGGCCCACAAAAACGTGAAAGAAAGTACAATGGAAAAAGTTCATCACGGCTATGTAGTGCACGTACATCAGCAATAGAAGATACAACTCAATATAATTGTAGCACATACTTCCTCCGCTGATCCACCATATCCATTCAGGTTTAAGTGTTTTACATTCGCTAAGTAAAAGAACTATCGTGAACGGAGGGCAGAAGTGTATTACTTTCACTATTGAAATCCACACAGCGTTTACCGAGGTACCTTTCATTGTTTTTACTTTCACTATTGAAATCCACACAGCGTAAGCTTCACTAATGATTACAGCTGTTTTTCATTTTTCCTATGACTTCGATCCGTTACTCCCTCCGTCCTAATATATAAAGTAACTATTTTTTAATCAAGTCCTATATAAGGCAGGCTCTCTCTCGTCACACGTTCATCGATACAGTAATACTACTATTGAGATAAAATTAAATGCATTTCTTGATCTTTGAATCAGGAGGGAGTATTAAATTAAACAAAAATAATTCCCATGCTCTTGCCTAAAACGTACAGTATGTGCCGTTGGCGACCTGGTGTTGCTGGAGTGAGGTCACAAGTTGCTTCCCAGAAGGCGGCGGCTCGCAAGTGGTCCTCCTGCACTTATGGAGGGCGCCGACGCAGAAACATCCAAAATCCCGACGCTCACTATTCAACGCCAAGAGAATCAAATGAATGAAATCCCCAAAAGTACAGCACATTTGCTTATCCCTTTTAAGAAAAACAACAAGTGTAGAACTTGTCACAATCTCTTCAATTAGTCCATAAGAGTTGTTGCCACAATCTGAACTTCCAACATGGTTTTGAAGCTATTTCAGTTTCAGCACGGTTCCAGTTCTCATAATTTGTCCAAATCATTTGTTTAAAAAAAAATTTGTCCAAATCATCTCAAACCAGAAGATAACTAAGAATCTAGTACTGATAATAGAGTGACGTCACATGCCCAATTCCACCGAGTCACAACTCGGAAGTTCAAAAAAACAAGAGACCATTGCAGTCTTGAAGATAGATTTGAATGTGCCACACAATCACGCATGCAAACCTTGAACTTGAACTCCTCTGCTTATTCATACGTGGTGGGAATTACTCAACAAGAAATCGTAAACTCGCCCTACTGCACAGCTAGCTAATCCCTAAAACTCTACTACTGCACAAGATACTCACAATGACAGTTCAGATCCCAGAACGGCGTGATAATCACACACATGATGCCTCCACCGATCTGCTACTGCTACCACTAAACTACTAGTGTTACCAACCGCCCGTCTAACCTGGATTACGCCTCCAACACGCGCGACGATCAGAACCAGGCGAGCGCCGCGGCGGTGAGGGCGGCGCCGGCTCCGGCCACCCTCCACACGCCAGGCCCGCCCGCTGCGGCGCTGTGGTGGCCGTGCGATCCTCCCGAGGCCGTCCTCGCGCCGACGCCGGCGGCGGCGCCCGCACCGACCCCGCCGAGGAACGGGCGGCCGGGGCCGGAGCGGCCTCTTCCCGACCCGCCGCCGCGTCCTCCTTTGCAGGATGCGACCTGGAAGTGGGTGGCCACGCAGAGCAGCGCCAGCGCTAGCGCGCAGAGCAGCCTCGTCCCGCCCCTCATCGCCGTCCCCGATGCGGTGGTGGCTGCGCGGTGCGTCGAGGTGGAGATGGGGAAAGCTCTACGCCCGTGACGAGGCCAGCAGGGAGAGGCGTCTTTTTGCCTGTTGCGGCAGGACAGCCACAGCCTACAGGTGAGGCGAGAGACGTCGTGGCTTCGTGGCGCACACAGTACGCCTCCAACCGTCTTCCTCAAACTGGGCAGTGCGGGGCTTTATGGCGGCACCGTGGGCCGTGGCGCTACGCGGCTATGCGCCTATGCCTACGGAGACGCGTGGACAAGTTCGATTTTACGCGTGGACAAGTCACAGTCCAGCACCTTCGGCTTCGATTTGATCTGATCCCGTTCGTTTCGTTGAAAAGTAGAGCGAAAAATAATATTTAGTAATTTATTATGAAAAAAAAATATTATACCACGATAAATTTCCAGCTTAGCTTGGCTGGACTCAGCGAGGTGTGCATACAGGTACAGTACAAGCGCTTTGTCGTTCTTCTACAATTAGCCACGTGCTCATCGCCTAATATTCCTGAAGTACGTACTCCCCTGCTAATCTTTTATTAACTACTACTACTCCTAACAATTAGCGAAGCCAGTAGAAGTTAACAAAGCTGTCAACTACAGCAACTAGTCCACAGTAGCGCCTAGTACTGGTTTTCGAGCACTCGTGTTTTGCATTATTGCATATGATCAGTTTCAGTAAATATATTAACAGACGCATTATGCCGATTGCTAAGTACTCGATACTTCCGTAGTTCATCAAAAAAAAAAGCACTAATGAGCAATATATGACACGACTTGTTTCACTATTTGCCATATACACAAGGATGGCCCTGCACATCGGTATCATTTGAACTTATATACAAACCACATGTGCAGTCGCCATCCTGTATACGGTGATCGATGCCATCGAGATCATGACACTTTGACACTCGACGCAGTCCGTCCCCATGTCTACATCTAGACGAGCCAGGCGACGGCAAGAACCGTGGCAGCGACTCCCGCCTTCCAAACGCCGCCGCGGGCACCGGCAGACGAGTCGTCGTAATCGAGCAAGTCATGCACGCTATCATAGTTCGTGGTGCCTCTCGAGCCGCCGCCGGAACGAGAACCACCGCTAGAACGGGAACCGCCGCCCTTTGACCCGCTGCCGGAACGAGACCCGCCGCTTGATGATCCACTGCCGGAACGAGAACCAGAACTGCCGCTTGATCCGCTGCTGGAACGAGAACCAGAACCCCTCCGGAGCCGCCGCCGCTGCCGGAGGACAGGCGCATGACCATGACCTCCTCGCTGACGTGCTCGTGGACTTGCTTGTCGTCGACCGCGTGCTCGAGCGGCACGGCTCCGCTGCCGGCCGGTGCTTGTCCTTGGTGAGCGGCCTCGGTGTCGCCATCCTGAAGGGCGGCGGGGACTCGGACTGCGTGCGCGCAGCTGAATCACGCCGCGAGCGCGAGGCCGACGAGGAGGAGCAGTAGGAGCGCACCGGGACGGCGACGCGTCGGGAGAGCCATGTCGAGAGCGCGTGCGTTGCTGCTTTACCAAATACGGAGTATAATTACTGCATACAGTACGACGTTTGCCTGACAACGCCTGTTGGTGCGGTATTGCGGATTGCGCTGGGTTTGTAGTCCGGCGGAGCTTTGGTGCCGGCGCGTGCCCGAACGATTCGGTGGACACATATTTTTTCGCACCAGGGCAGTTGTCCGTGTCGAACTCTTGGGAGTAGCACGGTGTGGTCTAGAACTAGACTAGATAGATTAAGGGCACGTTTATTTGAGCTTTGGGGTATTTTTAGACTAGGCTTTTTGATATTTTTTTTCAAAAGCCAAATAGCTTCCATCCATAAGCCAAAAGTTCGGAAGTTTCTGTTTTTTGGCTTTCTGGAGTTTTTTTAATCTTGGAACCCAAACAAACAGACCCATAATATACTTATTACCGTCGGATCGTATTACGAGCCATTAGTGAAATAATTTTCACCACCGGTACCACAAACTGGCGGTAAAAATGGGTCAACCATCACTACCGGTTGGTAACATAAACCGGCTGTAATGATAGGTTTATCACCGCTGGTTCGTGTTACCAGCCGGCGGTGATAACCGTCCAAATTTTCACCAACGGTTTGTAATACGAACCGGTGATGATGAGTATTACCGCCGGTTTTCTAAAAACCGACGGTGAAAATGACGGCGGTGATTATCAATTATGTAGTAGTGAGAGATGACAAATAGATAAACGGACTAGAAGGTGAGAGTTAGGAATGATAGTAAATAATCGTCAGATTTAATATTAGATATAGATATAACATATACTTAAACTTATTCGAGGCAAGAGGCATTAGTCCATTATTAGAGCATCTCTAAGAGTTCCTTAAATCTCTTTCTAATCATTGTTCTTTAGTAAGATGAAAAAAAAATCATCTCCAACAACTCATAATCCATCCTCCTAATCTTTTAGAACTTGGGGAAAGTCACACTGTTCCGCGTAAAGTTACGCGCTTCCGAGTCGCGCGTATCTTCTCTCCCTACGAGTGTTTATCAGCCAATCTAAAGGTAGAAGGACATGAAAAGAATAAAGAGTAGGAAATGGTTCCTCATGCAAATGTACAAGAGAAAGAATATATAAAAGCGGTTTAGATAATTTAGAAATAGTATAGGATTTCTGATGTAAAATCGTCTTCTATATTTTAGGAATGGATTATTAGAAACTCTTGAAGATGACCTTCTTTATTTCTTCCGATACTTGTTTAGGAGTTATAAAACTTATTTTTAGGAAAAAAATATTACGTACTCTCGGAGATACTCTTATATTTATTACAAAACATGTAGCCAACGCTACAAACAACCAAAACGAGACAAAAGCACATAAAAACACCACAACACCGAGCAATTCATTTAAAACGACTCCATCAATGGAAAAAGTGAAAATTGCATTGTCATCACTTCTATTTTCACTTTGTTGTAATCTATATCTATATTATTTAATATTAAAGAGCAAATAGATTCTCTCATCTGTCTTTTTTTTTTACTTTTCATGATGTCCTTGCGTCTCTCCTTGTTCCTTTGGACCATGACTGATAATTCATGCTCATATGAGTTAGAAATGCATATGTTTATGCATCTAATGATACGGAGTTCGATTCTAATACATATTGGAACAATCATACGTCACGTTGCAATGCATAAGCATATTTGCTAACAACAAAAACAATAACAACATAAATATATATTGAAACACATGACACAACCATTACATAAATCATAGAACTACAATTCTACAAGTCATTCGGGACGTTTGCTAGTAATAAATACATTGCAGAAAGAATAAAAAGAGCCAAAATAAATAGGAAAGCTAAAGTTCACTATTGTGATTTGAGCTTTTCCCTTATTCAATTTTTTTCCAATCAAAGGATGTCACGTGGCCTTCTGTCGGTGATACAGACTCAGGGTACCTCATCGTACGATTATCAGTCCATTACCATCGGAATAGGGCGAAGCTGACGAAGATGAGGTCCACCCGAATCAGGACGCATCATTAGATGTGGTGGACAAGTATCCTGATGTAAGGATCTTGGATGCCGATTTCTACAAGATATGATAGTTATTTTAATGTGGATTTTCTTGTAACTAACTAGAAAACACCGATCGATCTAGCCATAGCATACTTTAGGCTACATGGCATAGGCAATAGTCATTAATACTGTAACACCCTTGGTGTTACGAGCTTGTTAGCACCGTGATTTAGGTCTAAGAAAAATTTTCGAAAAAAAGAGTTTCTCGGGTTTTTAATTTAAAAACGTATTCGACGCGATACGCGAATCCTGTGCGACCCAGTTTTTGCGGACTCGAATAACGTCCAAGTTCAATCACGCCGTGCGTAGAAATATTTAGAAATATCGAACGACGATTTTGACGAGTAAATTAAGCATGAAAAGCAACGCTTATAAATAAAATAGAATTCATTAATAAATAGAACGATATACATATATATATATATATATAGTTTTTGAATCAAATTTAAATTGGAGCTTGCTGAAATTTTCCGGTGCCTAGGCGTTGCAAATAAACCGTTATATATATATATATATATATATATATATATATATATATATATATATATATATATATATATATATATATATAGATATATACGTTAACGACGGTATTTAAAACAAAGAATCAGAAGAAAGGACAAACGTACTCCGCGACACCGGTAGCAATTGTAGGACTGTACAAGTTGACCGAATCCTATTAGCTCTGTCTTTTTTTTCTCCGCTCGTCTGCCTGCTGGCCGCTGTTGTCTCCTTCCCACTCGATTCTGAAAAGTCGTATATTAGCAGTTGCCTTGCCTTGGCATCGCCCTGTTCCGTCAAGAGCACTTCACACCAGTCGTTTGCCTGTTCCTTCCACGTGCTACACTCCGGGTCTCCTCAGGGCCGCGTTTAGTTCGGCCACCGAATCGGCGCCGCCGGATTCGATGCGCCACTGTAGCTACGGTAACGTTTTGTTTTTATTCGGTAATAATTGTCTGATCGTTGATTAATTAGGCTCAAAACGTTCGTATCGTAAAGTACAACTAAATTGTGTAATTAGTTTTTGATTTCGTCAACATATAGTACTCCATGTATGTACCGCAAATTTGATGTGATGATGAATCTTCTTTTTGCATAATGCCAAATTCTAAAATTTTGGGTAACTAAACAAGCCCCAGGTCTTTTTTTAGCACTCCTCATTTACTCAGGCCTCGTTTAGATTGTAAATTTTTGTAATCTGGACACTGTAGCACGTTTTGTTTGTATTTGACAAACTTTGTCCGATCATTGACTAACTAGGCTCAAAAGATTCATCTCGTGATTTATAACTAAACTGTGTAATTAGTTTTTTTTACCTACATTTAATACTCCATATATGTGTCCAAAAATTAATGTGATGAAAAAAAAGTGAAAAAACTTGGAATTTTGAGACAATCTGCCTCAGGATACCACGGGGCACGTGGCTTTGCAGTTCAGCTGCTCAGTTGTTCTGCATTAACTTCTGCGCCTGCACGTTGTCACTGCCGTGCAAGTGCACCGCACAACGGCGCCAGTCACTATTTCTCCGCAGTGACCCGCTGCCGTGATTAGTCCACTGCCTGCCTCCGCCTTGGCCTCTCTTGTGTCAGGTCACCCTGTCCGCCTGTCCCGCGCCTTTCTTTTTTCTTCTCCGCTGTCTCTTCCGTGTGCGTGCCCTGCGGTCCGCTGCTAGCCATGCCGCTTACCCCGCCGAGCCGAGGCCGCATTCGCCGGCCGAACCGCGTGCTGCTTCCTCTCCCCTAGTCCCAGCGCTGCTCCTCCCTCCTTTTCCCCCGCGCAGCGCGCGCGCCCCTCGGCCCTGGCCACGCTGGACCGCTCCATCTCGCAGCCGCAGCGTCTCCGTCGTCGGCGTTGCCTCTGCCTTCGCGTGCTCGCGCCCGGCGCACCGGCGCAGCCGCGCTCCCTCTCCCTCTGCTGGCCATGCGCCGCGCCTCCCTCCAGCCGGTACCGGCCCTCCCCGCGAGCCAGTCCCGACCCGCGCGCAGCTTTGCCCACTACTCACGACGGCGCTTCCGTGCTCCGCTGTTTTTCCGCGACCTCACTGCCTTGGCACGTGCAGAGCGCCCGAGCTGCCGGCACCTGCTGCCCCGCCGGGACACGCGCCGCCCCGCCGTGCCCCAGAGTCGCCGTCCTGTCGGCGTCGCAGCTCCGCCGGTCCGCGCACCTCCTTGCGCCGAGGTCCGCAGCACCTCGCCTCGCGCCTCACCCCGCCGGTGCTGGCCGTCCCCGCGAGCAAGCATGCACCGCCCCTGCCTTCCCGCGCTGGACCGCGGCCATGCTCCTCCACCGGCGCAGCCCCGGGCGGGCGTCTTTGGCACCTCCGTGGCCGAAGCCGCAACGCCCCGCCCAGCACGTGGGGAGCCACGCCGCCGGTGCCTGCGTACCCGGCCAGGCCGCCGCTGCCCCGCGGCCGATTTTTTTTCCGCCGCCGACCGGTTCCCCTGCTTCGGTGATGAGCTCTGTTTTTGGGGGATGACGTGAAGGTGAGACATCCAAGAAATAGAAATACGCAGGCTGTTTACTGCAAAATACACGACTCGAATGAATAGTGCAAAAAGGGTTTGGCGATTAGCAAAACGAATAAGGAGTTTTCTGCAAAACGCGCCCGCGCCCTGGGCTTTACCAGCTGGGCCGGCCTGTTGGCGCCGTGTCCGGGCCGCTCGCTGCTGCGCGGTGGGCCGGCCGGTTGCCAACGCGCCTGGGCCGCGCTCCCGCTGGGCCGGTCGCGTGCCTCCCGCACCGCTGGGCCGCGTGCGGAGCTGCTGGGCCGCCGCGCCGTGTTGGGCCACGCGCGCGCCTGCGGGCCGAGTTGGCCGCCCAGGTCCTTTCCTGTTGAGTGTTTTGTTTTGCTAAATTAGTTTTGGGAATAAATTTATAAAATCAATATAAATTTATGTAGCTGTCCAAAAATTATGAAATCAATTCTGTTAGTCTCCTAAAAACATGCCCTATCTGTTAGTATATTTTGTTCACAAAGTTTGGCAATATTTCTAGGAGCTATATAATTATTTTAAAATGCTTAATATTGTTAAAAGATGAACTTGTATGAATTTCCGGGATAAATCGGTAATAGTGTTGACTCTAAAAATTTGACAGTAAACTACTAATATTGTTATATACTCACTGTAATTTGTGTAGCTCAATAATAATTAGTTTGCTAGGTAGATAATGATGCTCTATTTCGAATAACAGTTAAATCGATATAATGGAATAAAGAAGCAACTTGGGTTTATATAACTAAATTAATCGTTGGGAAATAACGTCTTATTCAACAACATGGATATATAGCCTAAGTACGATCGTCATTAGAACTAGCTCGTTAATTTGAGAGGCGTAAATTGTATTTTTCAAGTCACGATTGCAGTCGATTAATTACGTCTTTGCATTGCATCGCATTGCATATCATATAGGTACGATGATGGATCAACGGACCAATTGAAGGATGATTGGGAATCCGAAGATGGTGTAATGGTTTTCTCGCCAGGAGATGATGCAATGGGTTTTCTATTCAGTTGATGGTGGATGATCTGAAGATGCAGATACTAACTTTTAATATATATCTTACCCAGGCAAGCCCCGGTGCATAACCCCTACTTTCTGTAGTTTAAATTATATTTGTGCATTAAGTTTTAAGGAGTTGATTGAAACCCACTTGCATATATATCTTTATCCTATGAGTCTTACTAGTATGACAGGATCGTGTAGATTGCTATGCTACAGGACTCCGGTAGAAGTCGAGTGATTGCCTGTCACTCGCGAGATATAGGAAATATATTACTATATGATTATCACTTGGAATATATAAAATGGTGGAAAGGAAAATGGTGACCGGACAGGGATATGGTTTAGGTATTGGTGGGTGTAAGAAGTTGTGTCGCCGTGGATGACTTGGTTACACTGCTTTCCCTGTCTGGTCGGTTAAGGACCGATCGTAGCATATGACTCTAGGCAGGTCACAGACTTATTATCCTCGAACACATACTTGTGTATGGGCGCTTGGAAGATTTGTTGCTCTCTTGTCACAGATCTGGCTCCTTTTGGACCGACTGTCAGGGTTTTATTTTGGTGGAGGAGGTCCTTACACCGCACTGAGTCCGGGACTCAGAGGCGGGGGCTTGGAGTCCCAGTTTGGATAGGGACCTAGACACCCGAGACAGGAGAGTGATGGGTTGGTCCTATTTGTGCTCGGGGTACAAGCAGGGCGTATGTTTTCGGGGTACCCAGCTGGGGGCATTGATTCGCGAATCACCGGACGATCCGGTACGGCTTGTCTACGGTTTAGCATCGTAGTAAGAACTAAAAGATGAAATATGGAAGAAGGAAATCTGATTGCTTAACACCAGCTTGAAAGTAGCACATGTGCTTACACAAAATGGTTAGTTAATGAACCAATGCGGCTATTAATAAAAATCAAATATAAGGACGCACAATTAGTAATGCTTCCTACAAATGCAACCAACAAGCCAGATAGCCTTGCATATCCTTGGAGTTTTTTTTCTTTCCTCGTGTTAGGTAAGTCTTGCTGAGTATAATTGAGTACTCAGGGTTTTATTCCCCCTTTTGTAGGTGACAGGTGGATGCTAGAGCTGACACTTGTGTGCGGATTCCTCCTGGTGGGCTCAGCGAGGATTTCCTTTACGCTGCGATCGTAGTTGTTATTTATCAATCTCACCAAATGCTTTTATAAATGAAAGTTTATAACCTGTTGTCATAGTTTATATATCAACATTTCATCATGTCATGAATAGATATTCATTTTCGCTGTAATACTGATCACATGTTTATATTCCGCTGTTCAATTAAATTGTTATAACTTTAATATTATGATTTCATTCCACTGTTATAATAATAAATGTTATACTCTGATGTTGTATTAAAAGTGATGTAAGAAATGGTTAAGAATGATGTAAGCTTTATTCTCTCATTTGTGATCCTGATGGCAAAAATGTGGATCTTCGGGTTCTCCCCTGGGGTGTGTCCGATGGAATCGAGTAATTTAGTATTCTCCCTCGAGTGCTTAGTGTCTAATGGAAGACAAGCACTCCTGTGAGGCATTAGATTAGGCGGTTCTGCGACAAATACCCCCTTGCAAACTTGAGCACACGAGACAAAAAAGACCCCTCCCAATTGGACGTATGACAGTGCATACCTGAACCAGTATAAATCTGTCCTTCCTGTGGTACCCTTCTATTCCCCGTGCGTGATACGCTGATTTGCATTGCCCGGGTCAAAACCTCCAACACCTTTCCCAATTCTGACCACATTATAGTGTTATTCATGTGATGGATAGTTGCATCGCATAAATTTGTGGCATTAAGAAATCTAAGTGATTTGGTCATCTAAAATAACTCAGGTGATCAAAACCCAGATATCATCAAAGATTTGAATAAACAGACAAATTATAGTTGTTATCAATCTATACTGGATTTATACTATACTGTACTTATATTAAAGTTACAATAATTATTTTAGTGTAATTTCTACATAGAACTGTTGTAACCATAGATCTGTTTGAAAATCTTTTTTTTATTAAACATGTTATATGTTTGTTTAAAATTTGCTTTTTAATATGTCATAGTTTTTTAAAATCTGTTTGTATTATAAGATTCGTGTGATGGATATAGTCATATAGCACATAAATTTATATAGCATTAAGAAATCTACAAATCACTTGGGTAATAAAATCCATACATCACTTAAGTTTTGTAATAAAAAAAGAAAGTAAGAAGGAAAAAGTCCACGTTACCTCCCTCAACTTTTGTGAAAGTATGTTTTTTCTCGCTGAACTCTAAAATCGAGTAAACCACCTTCCTGAACTTTTAAAACCGTTCGTTTTACCTCCCTGACCGGTTATAAGCAGTTTTTAAAGGCGTTTTTATATTTTTTTTTTATTTATTTCGGCTGAATCTTTGAAAATCATAGTAAATCACAAAAAAAAATCATAAAATTGAAAGTTCAACTTTGTTGGACTCCACATGAGTATATATACACAAGTGAAAATATAATATGGTATGCTTTAGTATAAATTTTTTTGTTATAGCTTTAGATTCATGCTTTTCTATAATTAATTCATAGCTGTAGTTTCTATGATCTAATTATGGTGGATTTTTTTATGATGGGTTAATTATTATATGCTTGAATTGTAATAAAAATTTTATATTCATTGGATCATGTATAACTTAGTTATAGATTTATGCACTTTTTAACAAGCATACACCTAAATAAATCTATAACTAAGTTATAAATGATTCAATGAGTATGAATTTTTATTGCAGTTCAAATATACAATAATTAGCCCATCATAAAAATTTAATCATAATTGGACCATAGAAACTACAGTTATGAATTAATTACAGAAAAGCATAGATCTAAAGCTACAAAAAAAAAATTGTACTAAAGCATACCATATTATATATTCATTGTATAGATCTATTTATGTAGAGTCCAACAAAGTTGGATTTTTCATTTTATGATTTTTCTGTGATTTACTATGATTTTTTAAATATTCAGCCAAAATAAATAAAAAAGAAAAAGATAAAACCGCCTTTGAAAACCGCTTATAACTAGTCAGGGAGGTAAAATAAATAATTTTAAAAGTTTAGAGAGGTGATTTATCTATTTTAGAGTTCAGGGAAAAAAATCAATCTTTTGTAAAAGTTGAGGAGCTTACGTAGACTTTTTCCAAGAAAGAAAAATGGATCTGCTAAACATTTGTTTTCTTATCTTAGAAACAAAACAATGAAGGCCCAGGAGGAGGCCCACGCGGTTGGGCTGCCCCTCGGCCGAACAGCACCTCGGCTATTCGTTCTCCCCGCGTGCTCTCGAGCAGGGACGAGCAGCCGCGCGGGACGAGCTGCGGGCGGACGAGCAGGTACTCGCCGGGGGAGCCGCGGGCGGACGAGCAGGGACTTGCCGAGACCCGCAGGGGCTTGCTGGGGGAGCTGCTCGCCGGGTCACCGGGGGAGGAGCCCGCTGCGGCACAGGCAGGAGCTGTGCGGGCGGGGAGCGGGAGCTCGTGCCGGAGGAGCGGAGGAGCGGCTGCCGTCGGGAGGAGCTCGCTCCAGGGGAAGGGATCTGCTCCGGAGCTCGCTCTGCTACGCCGTCGTGAGGAGCTGGCAGCGCCGCCGTTGAGAGGAGCTGGTAGCCCGCGCCGCCGTCGTGAGGAGCTGGGAGCGCTCGTTCGGGAGGAGCTGGGAGCGACGACTAGGCTACCACCGCCGTACGCCGCCGCCGCCGCTCTACGCCAGATGCCAATGTCTTCGCCGGACCTTTCCCCGGAAACGAGCACCCAACAGGTATGCCCGCCCCTTCTCTTCCCTTCCTGCTGTGCGAAACCGAACAGGCGAACAGCATTCAAAGCCTAACCTACCTTCTCTTCCCTGTCTGTTGTGGGAAACCGAGCAGCACTCGAAGCCTAACCTAAGCTATTTGGCTATTTGTAATCGGACAATGGGCATGATCTAATTGCAAGTGTATACGTGAATTTTGCCTATTAACTTCGATTACTTTTGCAAAAAAAAATCTCGGGTGTACATATGTACACCCATGTCCTTTACTGGGCCCGCCCCAGTCTTTCAGTTTCAGCTCAAACCTGCACTTCGTACATATATACACTACTAGGACTTTATAGTATGAGTGATATTTTGCATATCAACAACATTTTCGCAATGCCATATTTTTTTTTGTTCTAGCGACTCTTTTTTTTTCATACGTAAATGCTAGTTGTTTCATATGTAAGACTGTAACCCAAAATTTGTTTTATGTGGGGCAGTAAATTTACGTTCTAGCTGACTCTTTTTTTATTCTGTGGTATCATGCTTTCTGCACATGTCATTTTGATTATTATCAGTTATTTTGTGCAAAGGTGCATATCTTCATGCTATCACTGTACTCACTGAATGTCTTTCTGATTACATTTCAGGTTCATATGGCCTGTGTAATGCAAGGACGTAGGTAAATCTAGATGCATGCTTCACTTCATTGTCCATTAGCTACCATTCTTTTCACTATTTTTATAAGACATGTTTCTTTACTTGATGTACACCATGTCAGTTGAATGTTTCCTTGCTATTTTATTTTAATTTCATTACAAGATCCTGCTTCATAGACTTCCTCAATAACGTGAATGCTAGACATCAATCTAAATAGTCCTGTGAATATTGTTAAACAAACACCATCATTTATAGTTGCACTACACTGTCCAGTGCTAAAGTTTGTTTTGTGAATTATTATCACAGTGCATAGTTAAGTTATTGTATTCTTTTTTACTTTATTGTGATTCAGAGTTGGAGTGGCATACTATGATTCAGATACACGCCAACTTTTTGTGTTAGAAATCTGGGAAGACAGCGCTGGGGAATATCCTCTGATTGATCTTGGTATGTTCCTCACATAAATAGAAATCAAGTTTGCTTCCTATTTGTTTGGAATATAGACAGAGGGGCTGCTGTGGTAAAAAAGATACTTATATATGTTTTCCAATATATTCAAGAACTTTTAGGATTGGTAGGAAATGAAACCATATAGATATTGCTGACACTTTGTGATCCTGGTTTTGCATCAGTGAAATTTCAGTCAAAACCAAGCACAATATATGCAAGCACAAAAACGGAAGAAGCACTTTTGTCGGCTTTACAACGAAATGGTACGGCCACAACCACTTCTTTGAACTGATATCTTTAGTTCTCTTTTGATGGTTTTGCATGAAATCATGCAGATGGTAACGATGAGGCTCCTGTTGTGAAGCTCATGAAAAGCTCAACATTCAGCTATGAGCAAGCCTGGCACAGGTTAGCTGCTTTATCTACTGTTCACAAAACCTGGCACTTCTTAAATGTAGTAAGAAGTATTATTTCTGTACCTTACAATATTCCTTACATCAGTGTATAAGGATCGTCACAATATTGTCTGGATCTGCATAGTACAACATTTACAAATACACTAAATTGCTTGACATGCTTTGTTGGATTGCTCTTGTATTCCTTCTTGAACATGTAGTAACCAAATTCGTCATGGTTTGGTGCAAATTACTTCACTTTAGTAATATGTATATGATGATGAGGTTTTGACATTATTTATTTCTAACCGGAATACCCTCTGTTAGCTGAACATCTACAACAAAAATGCTTAGTCTGGCCCATTTGGAAAAAGGGACAAGAAACACTTTAGTGGAGCTATGTGATGACCTATGCTATGACTATCAATTTTCTTTTTGTATATATCTGTATTCAGGGAACTTGTAAGTGAAGAGACAAAATAACAAGCACGATCTCTTCTTGTAAAGTTCACCATAATTAGTAACCACCAAGCCTCATAGTATTTTTGTTATCTCTCTCAATGACATCTTTAAGCTGATAACTTGATGATGTAATACTTTGTATGCATATCTAAACTGCAGATTGATCTACTTGAAAGTTGCAGCTATGGATGATGGACTCAGTGCAAAAGAAAGGATATGCTTTGTAAGTGATCTTAAATGAGAATCTTGCCACACTAATTGCTACTTACATGTTTCAATTCGTCTCCTGAGATTTCTTTAGAAATATTAATTTTATTGTAAGTACCTGTTAATTGCATCTCTGAGATACAAAAAATATATATCGTTGGACCAATAATATGTGACTATGTGATCAAGCACTGCAACAAGGATTGCTATTTCCCTCAAAAAACAAACAAACAAGGATCGCTATCCTACTGCTTTTTCTCATTCCATTCTAAACTGACATTATCCTACTACTTTTCTCGTTCCATTCTAAATTCTGTCGCTGATAACTACTGATTATTTATTATCTTTTTTATCATTCATTTTTTCTACTCCCAAATCTTGTTAGCCATTTCTAGTTACGAGATGGAAATATCTTTTTGGTTTACTTGCAGCTTAATTCCATGATGGATCTTGGAAGCGATGTTCAAGTTCGTGCTGCTGGAGGTCTCCTAGCCATATTAGACAATGAGAGACTTCTTGACACCATTGAGCAGATGGAAGGTGGAGCATCCATTGCAATCGATTCTGTGGTACAGATCTCATTTTATCCTTTGATGATATGAGATAAACCGAACACACTGATGTGTTGAGATTTAATTACATCTTCTATCATGGGCAGTCAGCTGGGCTTATGGTCCCGGACGGCGGTATGTTAGATCAGATCCGACCTGACATACTGCTGCCCTGGCTGGCCGGCCCGTAACGAACAGACTGCCCATGACATCTTCCAGTGATAGTCTAGTTTATAACCAACATATATATATATATATATATATATTCTGGAAATATGGACTGAACACATTTTTAACAGGTTGGCATTCTCCTATCTATTTTTTAGTTAGCATTGAATACCTTGACTTATAATCACAGAGACAAGTTCCTTAAACTCGATGCAACTGCTCATGAAGCACTACAGATTTTTCAAGTAGATAAACACCCTAGTTACATGGGAATTGGAAGGGCTAAAGAAGGGTAAGAATCTTTCATCAAGGATTCAAGTTTTTTATGGTAGCTTTTGGCTGGCGTCCAATTTTTTAATAATATTGACAAACTGCAGGTTCTCAGTTTTTGGCATGCTCAACAAGGTAAAAAACCTCTTTCTTTATTTACTTCTTTTCTGAAAAGCACTGACTATGTTTTGAATTTAGTGCGTCACGCCAATGGGAAGACGCCTCTTGAGGTATCTCTTACCTCTGATAATAATGATTGCAATAATGATAAGCCAAATCTGTATTAACTATTCCTTTTTGGTTTCAGGGCATGGTTCCTACGTCCTATAATTGATATTGATGTCATAAATAATCGCCTCAACACAGTATCCTTATCCACTTTTTCAATTCTTGATGCCCACTAGGCACCATTAGTTTTCTGTACTGTTTTCCTAGAAATGGCAGATAACATTCTTTCTTTGCTGTGAAGAAGTAATGTCTGCATTGCGTGAGACTTTAAAGTCTGTCAGAGATGTTCCCCACATGCTCCAGGTTCTAAGTTGGCAATTTACATACAAATTTTAATGTGGTGTTATTTGTACCTTCTTTGGTTGTGAACTTGTAGTACAATCATAACCCCTTTAGGCCTTTACTATGTCAATATGTCATAGAAAGACACTTTTCAAAGATAAACTGAATATCGATTTTATAGCTTTAATTATGCTCTCTTGAAAACTGGCCTCAAATTCTGTGTCAAGGACGGGTCCGAGACTAGCAGGACCCCGGCTACGGAGTTCGTAGCCGCGACCCGTGGTAGCTGGGCGAGCTTTTGCCCCTCAGCTTCAGTCGGTTTGGAGGAAGAAGAAGAGAGATTAGGTAATAATTCTTGCCTGATTCTTATTCATCCTGTTGACTCTCATATATAGGCCATTCGGCACTACAAATTGGAGCTAATTGCTCCTAATTCTAAGGCCTTGATCGGCTATTATTTCCTTCTATCTACTTGCCATTTCTTCCTGACCTGCATGTTGGGTGATCACGCCATATCCTCAGCTGGCGCACCTGCCTGCATGGTGACCGCGCCCAGATCCTCAGTGGCTCTGCGGCCATCCCGGGCGCGCCGTTTCCTTGTATAGGCGTGGCCCCACATGACATCTCTCCCCCCCTCGACTAGCAGCTCGTCCTCGAGCTGGAACGCCGGGTACTTGTGGAGGAAGGAGTCCACATCTTCCCAGGTTGCAGAGGCCACGGTTTCGCCCTTCCATTGGATGAGCACCTGTCGAACGCCGCGAGCCAGGCGGATGCGCACTGCCCGTTCAGGCTCCGGAACAGCGGCGCCGTTGTGGATGACCGGGAGAGGTGGCGGTGTAGCTGGCGGATCACCGATGAACTTCTTGAGGAGGCTGATGTGGAAGACGTCGTGCGGCCGAGTGTGTTGAGGCAAGGCGAGGCGCACGACAACCTCATTGATGAGCTCGGTGACGCGGTACGGCCCGAAGAAGCGGGGCTTCAGCTTCCCTGTGGTCGCCTGGGGCAGTGAGGCGGCCGGGCGATGGCGTAGACGGAGTAGAACCCAGTTGCCCACCGCGTAGGAGACGTGCCGGTGCAGCTTGTCGTAGTGCAGCTTCTGTACCGCCTGGGCTTGTTCAAGCCGGTAGCGGACGTCCTCCAGAAACTCGTCGCGGTCTGCCATGCTCTTGGCGACGGCAGCAACACGACTCTCGCCCGGCTCATAGGACCGAATGGTAGGCGGGTCCTGGCCGTAGACCACCCGGAACGGCGTGTCGCGGAGAGAAGTTTGATAGGCCGTGTTGTAGATGTATTCCGCCCACGGCAGCCAGCGAAGCCACTGACGAGGCCGGTCGCCGGTGAAGCAGCGAAGGTACATGACAATGACGCGGTTGGCTGCCTCCGTCTGGCCATCCGATTGCGGATGAAAAGCCGTTGTCATGTGCAGCTTGGCGCCCATGAGGCGCATCAGCTCCCTCCAGAACTTGGAAGTGAACACCGGATCGCGGTCGGACACCATTGACTGAGGCATGCCGTGGAGTCGAACAATGTCGGTGAAGAAAGCCTGGGCCACTGACTCTGCAGAATACGGGTGAGCCAGGGGAATGAAGTGGCAATACTTGCTGAAACGATCCACCACTGTCAGTGTGACAGATTTCCTCCCGACGTGCGGCAGTGCCTCCAAGAAGTCCAGACCGATGTCGGTCCAGACTGCCTTCGGGACCGGCAGCGGCATGAGCAGGCCAGCCGGATGAAGATGTTCCGATTTGTATCGCTGGCAGGTGGAGCAAGCTCGGACGTAGTCCTGGACCATGTGGCGCATGTTGGGGAAGTGGAAGTCGCGGCGGAGGTGGTGCACGGTGCGCTGCACACCCTCGTGGCCGTCCTCGTGCACGGCGGTCATGATTTCCACCAGTAGTGGGGACGCCGGCGGAACGTAGAGGCGGGAATCATAGGCCACCATACCGTCGATGAGGGACCACGGCGCCGCCGAGTGCCTGCAGTGATGTCGTCCTGGATGGCGACGAGGGCCGGATCGGTGTCCTGAGCCTGGCGGAGGCGCTCGATGTAGTCGAACCGAGGTGCGGAGATGGTGAGGACAGTGCCCTCTTCAGTGTCGCGGCGCGAGAGGGCGTCAACCACCGTGTTCGTAGCGCCGGGTTTGTACTCAACGGTGAAGTCGAACCCGAGGAGCTTGCCGACCCAATGATGCTGTGGGATCGTCGCGAGGCGCTGGCCGAGGAGAAATTTGAGGCTGTAGTGGTCCGTGTGTACCAAGAAGCGACGTCCCTAGAGATATGGACGCCAATGACGGATGGCGTGGACGAGGCCGATCAGTTCCCGTTCGTAGGCGGCGAGGGAACGGTGTCGCGGCGCGACGGCCGGTGAAGTAGGCGATCGGGTGTTTCTCCTGGATGAGCACTGCCCCGAACCCGTGGGTCGACGCATCGCACTCGACGACGAATGGTTTGTCGAAGTCCGGCAGGGACAGAACCAGAGCCGAGGTGACCATGGCTTTGAGGGCCTGGAATGCCGCGGTGGCGTCGGGAGTCCAGCGGAACCCTTCCTTCTTTAACAACGCCGTGAGGGGAGCCGCAATGGTGCCGTAGTCGTGGACGAACTTGCGGTAGTACCCCGCCAAGCCAAGGAAGCCTCGTCTTGACGCACGCGCCGAAGCGGGCTAGGGCGATCCGGATCGCTGCACCTTGGCGGGATCCATGGCGGACGCCGCCTCGGAGATGACATGCCCGGTAGGAGATGGGCGACCCCAAAAGCGCGCGCCAACGCTGAGCGAAGAGTCGGTCTTCTTTGCAACATGGCGAGGACGGCACGGAGGTGCCGGAGATGATCCACCCAAGATGAGCTATAGATGAGGATGTCATAAAAAAACACGAGCACAAACCGGCGAAGGAAAGGGCGCAGGACGTCGTTCATCAGTGCTTGGAACGTGGCCGGAGCGTTGCACAGCCCGAATGGCATCACCAGAAACTCGTACGGCCCGTCGTGTGTGTGGAACGCCGTCTTAGCGACGTCGGCGGGGCACATGCGGACCTGGTGGTAGCCCGAGCGAAGGTCCAGCTTGGTGAAGAACTTGGCGCCGTGGAGTTCGTCCAGCAACTCATCAACCATCGGGATGGGAAAAGCATCCTTGACGGTGATCGCATCAAGGCGCGGTAATCGACGCAGAAACGCCACGACCCGTCGGCTTTCTTGACGAGGAGGACCGGGGAAGAGAAGGCCGAGGAGCTCCGGCGTATGAGCCCCTGGTCCAGCATGGCGGCGCATTGCCGCTCCAGCTCATCCTCCTTGTGCGTCGCCGGGTACCTGTAGGGGCGGACCGCCACGGGCTGCGATCCTGGTAGGAGGATGATGCTGTGGTCTCGGCTGCGAGGAGGAGGTAGCCCGTGGGGCTCGGTGAAGACGTCGGAGGAGTCGAGGAGCTCGTCCAGTAGGGTGTGGCTGGCGATGAAGTTGCGCGGAGGTCGGGCGCGGCGGGGCTCGCCATCCGTGTGTGAGCGCGTCGCCACGCGCATGCCGCTTGAATGTCATCGTCGTGGCTGAAATCGCGCAGGATTGGCCCCAGCGACGCGAGCCACTGCGTGCCGAGGACCACGTCGTAGTCGGCGAGAGGCATGACGAACAGGTCTGCGGCGAAGGTGTCGCCGCTGATGGTGAGCGCGGCCTGGCGGATGATGCCCAGGCAGGAGATGCACTCGCCGTTGTCCACCGTGGCCGTCAGATGAGGACGGTGCTGCAGAGGAAGTCTTGTGCGCTGTGCGGCTGCCTCGGAGATGAAATTGTGGGTCGATCCGGAGTCGAGGAGTGCGATGAGGGACGTGTCGCCCAGCGTGACCTGGATTTGCATCGTGTCGCTGAAGTGGACACTGGCGATGGCGTGGAGCGAGAAGTGGGGGCTCGTCTCGGTGGCGCCCTCTTCAACGTCCTCGTCGTCCTCTCATAACGCCCAAAGCAAGAAAAGGCGCTTGCGAGACCGGTTGTGCCCCGGCCGAACTTCTCGTCGCGATTTGTAGCAGAGGCCCAAGCGACGGCGTTCCTCCCTTTCGGCTGGTCAGCGCTTGACCGCCGCCAGCCCTCCACGGTGATCGTGGTTGGGCGGTTGTGGTGTCCTGGGCGGCGCTGGCGAGAGCAAGTAAGCGCGCGGGCGCGTCGGTGAAAAGTGCTTTCGGCGCCCAGCGAGGTGGAGGCGCCAGCAGACGCTCCGCGATTCGAGCTTTGCGCCGAGTTCATAGCTCGGCGAGGGATCTGGATTATGCACCTCGGCGTCGAAGCCGAAGCGGCGGTTGAGGCCCACGGTGAAGAGCTGGACCCGTTGTTCCTCGTCCAGCGACCGCGAGGGAGAGCGCTTGAAGCGATCACGGTACTCCGTGGCGGTGCTCGTCGCGCTTGCACGCCGCCAATTCGCCGAGCGGGTTCGAGCGCAGAGGAGGTCCGTAGCGCAGGTGTAGCAAATCCTTGAAGCGGCGCCACGACGGAATTCCCTCGTCCTGCTGTATCTGGATGTACCACATCTGGGCACCTTCCTCCAAATTGTAGGAGGCCATCCAAACCTTCTCCTCCATGATGCGCTGCTGGTGGAAGTAGGATTCGCAGCGGTTAATGAAGATGAGCGGATCGGATTTGCCGTCATATTGCGGAAAATCCAATTTCTGGAATCGTGGCGGCCGATCCTGGTGGTGCTCCCCTGTGGCGGACTTGTTGCCGGAGGAAGACGACGTCGGCTGGAAGGCGTGATCAGCGTTGGATCGCCTGAGAGTTGGCATCGACTGATGCCTGCAGAGACTTGAGGGTGGCGGCCAGGGCGTCCAGAGTAGCCTGGAGGGTGGCCTCCCGGTCTCCCATTGTAGCGGCTTGGTGAGGGGTGGGCGGGGCAGAAGAAGCTCGGAGTGGCGGCGGAGGCGAGGATGATCGGCTAGGCGAGGAAGGCCTGGATCGTGATACCAGGTTGTCAAGGATGTCAGGTCCGAGACTAGCGGGACCCCGGCTACGGAGTTCGTAGCCGCGACCCGTGGTAGCTGGGCGAGGTTTTGCCCCTCGCTCCATTCAGTTTGGAGGAAGAAGAAGAGAGATTAGGTAATAATTCTTGCTTGATTCTTATTCATCCTGATGACTCTCATATATAGGCCATTCGGCACTACAAATTGGAGCTAATTGCTCCTAATTCTAAGGCCTTGATCGGCTATTATTTCCTTCTATCTACTTGCCATTTCTTCCTGACCTGCATGCTGGGTGATCACGCCATATCCTCAGCTGGCGCACCTGCCTGCATGGTGACCGCGCCCAGATCCTCAGTGGCTCTGCGGCCATCCCGGGCGCGCCGTTTCCTTGTATAGGCGTGGCCCCACATGACATTCTGCTTCTGAGTTTGTTGGGTCCTGTGGCAGTTTCACCCTACACTTGCTCCCAAATTGTTCCGTGGTCTGATATTTTATTTTGCCCACCCTGTTCTTGCTATAAATATTGTGAATTTAGCATGACATAGTACGCATCTTGTTTCTGACAATAAACAGTGAATGAAGACATTGTTTTTGGTTTACAAATGGTAAAAACAAAACCTGATATTGTGCTTATTCTTATAAGTGTCTCCAAGCATGCTGATTCAGGTTTAGATCTCTTAATACTCATGCCTGATATTTGTTTTTTCTGTAGAAATTCAACTCTCCAAGTTCCTTCTGTACAAGCAGTGATTGGAACACATTTCTTAAGGTACCCCAAAAGTCTTGTTTCGAAATAACTACATTTTAACCTGAAAGATAGAAAACATATGTCTTTCTAGATTGTTAGTACTTTTATGCCTTGCATGCTTGTGCAGTGCAGGACTAATAGAAAACTTAAATCTGAAATTCCCTGGTGTCCACGAGTAGGCATAACACCAAACCATGTTTGTTATATTACTTGTTTTAACAGCATAAATATTAAGATCAGTAGTTAGAATTTCTGGCAGGAAATACCTGAAGAATTTCTCATGTGGATCTTTTAATTATTGCTTCATAGCATTCGTCATGCAACATGTTTTGATTAACGGTGTTGGGAAAGTAAGATTATCAGTCATAGTTAGTGCATGGTTTTTAGCATAATTGCTATGCCTACTCCTCTTGTCAGAACTTCTAGTCTTCGAGTATGTCAAGCACTCAAGCTCCTCTATACAACTAGAGTACGTAGGACAAACTGTTTGGTTTTAAGGGAAGTGGAACTTAGAATCAGGACCCAATCACTACAACCATGTGCTTTATCACTATCAGTGTCAACTGTCAAGTGTACACTGTAGTTTTTTTTTTAATAAACTCAATCATTTTGGATGAGTTCTTGTTTTTGGCCTTTCTCCTGCCTAGCAAGTTTAGTATTTTGCATAAACTATGACTGAAGTGTTATATATTCAGTATGCACATCTGTGCCATCGTAAATCTGTTTCTGTCTTTTCCCCATTTACTTATTGGTATATATATGTTCCCCCCATTTTTTTCAGTGCATTTGCTCTCTGCTACATATAAACAAGATTTTTGAAGTAGGAATATCAGAGCATCTGGCGATTAAGTTGCAACATATGAACATTGATTTGATTGGAAAGGTATCAGTCTCCAAGGGAGAACCATCAGTTCCACTAATCCAATATTGAAATTTGGACAAGTTTCATGTGGTTATTGTATCCTTTTCCTCATCGTGCATCCTTTATGGTTTCAGGCAAATTCTTCCATTACAGCAGAGTTGGATTACGTGTCAGACCTGGTCAGTTCAAAACTTTGTCAGGTTTCATTTTGATTTGGAAATATTGCGACCTTTTATTTGTATGTTTGATAGAAAAATATGCACAAAAGTACTGATGGGCACAATAAATGGTTTGACTGCAAAACTTCTTAAGCATCACTTTTTTTTTTATCAGGCGGTGTAATGACCAAGTCTTCTCCCACTCTCTCTCTAGAGATCTATGTCATATCTTATCTCGTTTTGTGCCAGTGATACATGTATCATTACACATTATACATGATGAACTTCTATAATGTGATTTTTGGGTACTGTTAAAAAGTTCATGACATAATGATTTGTGAAACTTGTTGCTTCAGGATTTAAGCCTGAACAAACATTATAGGCTTCAACGCATTCTTCTATTAGGCCCAGTCCACTGACCAAGCGCTTGGGTGTCAAATTTGGTTGACACTTTGTTTTTGACTGCAAATAACTAAGCGCATATAAAGTAATGATAAATATATGACGCCATCAGTATCCAGGCCGTTGCCTGGGATCACTAAGATTCGTTTTGACGGCAGGCTGTGACAGTGTTTCTTCCTCCTCCACCTTCTTCCTCGCCTCGTGTTCCTCCGCCCCCGTCCGTACCTCCCCCATGAGCGCGCGCCTCCCCCGTGAGCACTGTGTCCATGACTGGGCGTGGGCCCGCGCTCGAGGTCAAGCGTGGTGTGAGAAGCTGCCAGTTGATCCTTGATTTGTCAGCCACAGCCAGGAGACAGGGAGGAGCAGAGGAGGTCGCGGGGGAGCAGGCCATGGCTGGCGTGCGAGTTGTCTGCGAGGAAGCCAGGTGGTGAGGAAGAGGAAGACAGCTCTGCTTTCTTCCATCTGTTTCAGTTAAGATGGTTGCTACAGATAAGGAGGGTGCCAAAGCCGCTCTCATAAAGTAATTGAAAAATAGGAGGAAAAATATGTAACAATCATTCTTTTCTTTTTCTTTTTGTCTCTGTAACATTTGCTGTGTACAGCTTCATTTTAGATGTTTGGTTGACCAATGATAGCTATCTGGTTTTTGCCAAATATTTTAGTTCCTGCTATTGTTACAATTTTCCTTTGTGTGTTGAGACATTTTTCTGGAAATGGCAACTCTTTATTGCTACTACTGATGAATACTTAGAGCTTTTTATGGAATCTGTTTTTACCATCTCATACACTGTTAATTGGTAATCATTTCCTATTATTGATAGGTAGTTGGTGTGATTGATGTTCAACGGGGTAAGGAGAAAGGCTATGAAACCGTGGTGAAAGAAGGGTTATGTGATGAGGTCAGACTTGCTTTTTCCATCCTTGAGTTGTATTCTATTGTTTCTTCTTAATGAAATGATACACAAGACTCCTGCATGTTTGAGAAAAAAAAGTTCCATTGTATAAAGGCTCTATTTGAAAAGAAGTGTGGAAAATCCCTGCCTCTTCTTTCAATGGTGGTATTCTTTCTGCATAACTAGAATGTATGTGGTATTTACATGTTGCTGTGAAATGCACCATAGAGGCAGATGTTGCAGGCTTATGTTGTATTTTGTTATTTTAATAAAGAGTTAAATGCACCATAGGTCCATTAACTTATGAGGGTGTTTCGATTAGGTGCATCAACTCTAAAATTTGATTTCTGAAACTTTTTAAGTGATTCACTGCAGGTCTATACACCTTCGTTTGGCCCTTAGATTCAACTTCCGGGTCCATAATCTTTTTAAGTTGTTCACCACAGATTTGCCGAGCTCAGGCCGAGCCCATGCTTATCCTCTGCCCGTGCTGCCCTCCTTTCCACTCCCTCAAGCCTCGCCACCACCATTACCGGTCACCTAGCTCCCACTACCAACGCTGTTTCTCGCCTTGCGTTTCACCTCTGTCCTAGAATGAGCTCTATGGACTCCGTCTCTGCCTCCTCTACCCTTTGCGCTCTTGGACACACAGAAACTCTGTCGGAGCTCCTAGCCTGCTATACTGCAGCTGCCATGGTCGAGCTTTAAACTCGCATGCGCCACCGTTCCCATTGGTGTAGGCCATCACTGCTTCAACGAGTGCACGGTTGAGTCCTCCGCAGTCCCCTTGTACCGCACGCACGCATTCGGGGCAAGTCTATGCCGGACCCACCATTTCCACTACCGTCTTCTACCTTCTGCTTGTCGTTGACCGCTGGACAGGCACGCTCATGACTGATCCGCTGCTAACCTCCACCGGAAAACTTAAAACCACCCTTAGGTGCCTGGGTGAGCGGTGAAGCTCGCGGTTGCATCCATTGCCACTGACGAATGCTCTCTTGGCTGAATCCTGCCCTTCCCTGCTATACTTGAGCCTATGTTGATTTGGGGAAAAAAGAAGAGGAAGGAAATGACTTGTGGAACACGCGCACCGCCGTGCACCCCTACGGCCCTATGCCTCACTCCACCGGGCCTTCGTCGTGCTCCACCGTCCCTTGAGCTCGTGCTGCTTGCTGGTGCTTGCGCTCACCACCTTGCGTGCCGCACGCTGCCGCTAAGGGAACAGAGCAAGGAAGGAGAAGGGAGGGAAGAGGGGTTAATTGCAAAGTTCATGCCATGCTGGCTGTTGACTCTGCATGCCAATGTTAGATCTAAGAGTCAAGTGAAGGGGTATGGACCTGCAGTGAACCACTTAAAGTTTATGGACCCGGAAGTTGAATTTAAGGGCCAAACGAAGGGGTATGGACCTAACTGAACCCCCCGCATAAGTTAATGAACCTATGGTGCATTTAACTCTTTAATAAATGATTTTTGCCTTTATCTTGCCATTGAAATACCTTTTTTTGTTGTTGAATTTAACCCCTATTTCCTCAATTTTAGTTTATTTCACCAAGTTTCACGATGGCATTTCCAAACATAGCTTCTGTCTTTCAAAATAGGTTATGCTTGACATCGTGCATGGGAAGTTGCTAGATCATTTATCATTGTAGCAACAGCTCTTAAGTGTGGTTGCAAGATGAAATTTCCTGACTGTTCAATGGCCAAGCCTTTGTATTTCAAATCTGAACTGCCACAGGAAAACCATTTGCTTGAAATATTTATATGCTGCTATTCATTTGCTTTCTCTACATGTATCACAAAACAGGCATTTCTAGATTGTCATGTAGTTGTTATTGAAGTTATGGACACACTTGTATAATTCAATATCTTCTCTTTATATTGAACAGCTGGATGAGCTGAGGATGGTGTATGAAGGTTTACCTGACTTTCTGGAGCAGGTGATAGGTCTTTCAAACCCAAATTGAGTTTGAAACATGAAGTCTTTAAGTATTTATTCGGTAATTTCTGACAGTTCAATTGCTTCTAGGTGTCAGATAATGAAAATGCTTCTTTACCTTTCTCACTTGGATGCAGAATACCTCCACTAATAGTCTATGTACATCAAATAGGTAGGGTTTCCTTATCTTTAATAAGAACTCTACTCTTTTTTTTTTTCCTTTGATTTGAAATTACCTAGCCTTCTGTTATGTGAAAGTTTGAGTTACTATTATGTGATCAAACTTAGCCTGTTTCCTCCCTATTTCTTATAGAAGTATTCTTCCTTCATCTACTGTGGTACTCTGTATAACAGGGATTCTAACTAAATCCCTTAAACTTCTACTAAATCCTATTTCGAAAACGCCTATCTACCTTAAGAAGTTGAATAGTGCTAAATCTGCTTGTTGAATTTTATTTTTTGATGCATGAGACATTACTTAAATTAAGCTTGTTCTATAGTTCTATACTTAAGGTCAATGCACATAATAAATCTTCTGACCTCGATTTGAGGGATGTTTAAATGTAGTCTCACTTCGTAATAGGTTGGGATCATGGTTAAGCTGATGATGTTTTATACTATCATCCATATTATGTTCAAATATTTGATGTCATTGTTTGCTTTAAGGAGATAACTGCTTGATTTTTTCTGCGTGAAATTTAAATTCTAAACAATTAACATAGTTGCTACTTAATCCTGGTGTAATTTATGTGTCGTGATTTCTATATCATCACATTTGCTACTTCCAGGGTACCTAATGTGCTTTTTCGATGAGAAGATTAGTGATGCCTTGTTGGCAGGACTTCCAGATTACGAATTTGCGGTATATGCGGTGTCTTTATCCCTTTTCTAGTTTAATTTGTTTGCTAGGCAATAAATTTGTTTTCATCAGTTTTCAGAGGAAGGTGAGGAGAGAAAGTTCTACTATCATACCCAAAAGACTAGAGAACTGGACAACCTTCTTGGAGATATTTATCATAAAATTCTTGGTAGCTTCTGTGCTCCTTTTTTTTTTTTTGTCTTGTCATACTATTGTAATTTCTTCATGAAATTCTACACATGATTGCGGTTTATTTTATTCAAGTAAAAGTTCAGGAATCTATAGCCTCTATACAAGTCATATATGTATGCATGTAAGGTTATCTGCACGATTTAGGGCTAGAAGTAAAACAAAATGGCTGGAGTTTGTATAATTTAAGTTTATATCTAATTGATCCCGTTCCTTTGTCAAAGTCAAGTTTATTTCTATTTTCTGCTTTCTGGATTATTAATCCTGTTTGGGCCCACGCATGGAGGACCTTTTTTATGCTTTTGAAAATGTATTGGAAACTCACAAAATCACAAACATATTTTGTCTCATAGCTGTTCATATTCATACAGACATGGAGAGAGCTATCATAAGGGATGTAGTGTGTCGTGTCCTTCAATTTCTACCTCAACTGACAAATGCAGTGAACTTTGCAGCAGAACTTGATTGGTATGTATGCTTTTACTGGGCATACAAATAGTATAGAACATCTTACTGACAGTACATCGGTTAATGTGCTCTTCTTGATACTGTTACATCAGTATTTTATCATTAGCAATTGTTGCCCGCCAAAACAATTATGTGAGGCCCATCTTAACTGAAGATTCAATACTCGAGATACATAATGGCAGGTTAGTATTTATTTTGTTGATTTACAAATTGCATGATAGTTAGCTAGTCTTTAGTTTTACAATGTCTACAACCTAAACTTACTCCAGTAGCATTTAGACATGTTTTGCAGGAAATGACTGTTGATACCTTTGTTCCAAATGATACCAAAATTCGTGATGCAGGTGAATAGTGTGCGAGATTTATGAACCTTCATTCTTTTGGCACCTAGAATTGTTGCAAAACTTCTGACATAAGCTTTTTTTATTTAGGAAGAATAAACATAATAACTGGGCCCAACTACTCAGGGAAAAGCATTTACATTAAGCAGGTAATTTACTTTTACTATACTTCCTCTCTTATAAAAAAAAACAAATTATAGGAAAGATCAATTTGCTTTGGATACCTGCTTTCAGGTGGCCTTGATAGTTTTTCTTGCTCATATTGGAAGCTTTGTTCCTGCTGATTCTGCTATTGTTGGATTGACAGATAGGTTGGTCTAACATATAAGCACTTTCCTTGTATGTCACATGGTTTATATGTTATAGAAAAGATTATGTATTACGGTTGTAGACCAAAAAAGCATATGTATGTACACACATGGGTTTGGACCAAACCTTGACATGCTCAAGAATCTTTTGCAGGATATTCTGTGCAATGGGAAGCAAATCCATGACAACCGAACAGTCAACTTTTATGATTGACTTACATCAAGTTGGAACAATGCTCAGGTATTGTGGTAGTGACCCTGAAGCTTGTAGTCTCATCTTTCAGCTGTAGGTTTGATGCTCAATTTGTATTTCAGGCATGCAACATCCAGGTCACTGTGTTTGTTGGATGAATTCGGTAAGGGCACTCTAACGGAAGGTGAGAGTGGGACCACAGTAAATCTAACTCCTTTCTATTTATCCTCAACATGGCTCAAGATTACATGGTTTGTCTTTCTTTCCTGATTATGTGTAGATGGCATTGGTCTGCTTGGAGGTACTATCAATCATTTTGCAAACTATGATTCCCCCCCGAAGGTTAGGTAGCTATCTTGGGAAATGTTGTTTTAGAAATTCAATCTGATAGGTTTGCTAGTCTGATCTTGTGGGCTTCCTTTCAATCACTTTGGATTTGTGAACTTCATTGCATGATTTGCTTAGCTCAAATTTTCTGCATTCTATTTGTTCTTATATTTTCCTCCCGATTCTTTTCAGTCCATTTAGTAAATTGATTTCATTTTCTGCTTAAGTGAATGTAAAAAAAAAAACCAACTTAGACTAGAAAGGCAGATTTTAAAAATTGATAGTACTGTTGGACTATAACGTATATGAATAGGAAAAAGTTATCAGGTCAGTTTCTCAGATCATATCATTTCCCCCTGTTCCTTCCATATCTATTTCATTCAATGATTTTTATCAAAAAAAAATATTTCATTCAATGATGCTTTTGCACAAAAAAGCATTTTGACATTACATTTCTCAGGCATGAGTAAAATTATTGTTCATGCACATGCAAATACTTGGCATATTAAACGTGACTGATTAGTTTGATTGATGAGTAAAAAATACATCAATTAGACATTGTTGGCACCTTGACGCTTGAATTCCTTCTGTATTATGGAAGGAATTATATAGTTTTGTGTCACACCTGTGGCCCTACATCCTGTAACATATTAACCATATAATAACTTGTTTTCTATATCGTTTGCCATCGCCCTACATCCTGTAACATATTAACCATATAATAACTTGTTTTCTATATCGTTTGCCATACTGGATGGGAACAAAATAAATTGGTGTAATTGCTGATTGACTCTTGTAGATCTCGTAAATGGCTTAAAACTAGCTAGCCTAGCATCAAAATTGACAAGTTTAGTATGTTGCGATATTGTCTAATTATTGCAGGTCCTTTTGTCAACACATCTGACAGAGATCTTCACCGAGAACTACCTACCACAGGTTAATAGTCAATGTCCATTTACTGATGCATAGAAACAATTGTTTTCTTTTTCAGTCAGTCTTGTGTAGTCCTGTTCATAACAAGAAGAAATCTGAGACATTTGCAGTGTGAACATATCAAATGTTATACCATGAGTGTTCTGAATCCTGATGGACAGACGAGCAATGAAGATATCATATTCCTTTATCGGTAACTAGACAAGAAACCAGCCATGCTTTATTCTTGTTACTGTTTTGTTTTCCTTGTGTACTAATTCCTTAATTTGTAATGCACATGATGAAGGCTTGTACCTGGGCAAGCTCTCTTAAGCTTTGGTAAGCTTACGTACTGCATTTCCAACAATTGCTATGGATCCTTTTGAATCAGTTACAAGGTAACATTTTTTTTCTGCCTTACAGGTCTGCATTGTGCACGGCTTGCTGGTACGTACCTGGACGAACTTGTAATCACCTGGCATGTTGTGATAACACGATTACTTTTTCATTGAAACCATAAACTACTGTACTATTTTGTTCAGATTGGTATTGTCATCATTGTTTTGTTTCAATTAAAAGTTGCGGTCATAGTGAAGTGATCGACATGTTGACGCGCCATGTAAAATTTACCTACAAGTTACACTGTCACGTTGACATGTTGAAACAGGATATCATGTTACTCTAAACTGCAATTTTAAATATGGTCCTCCTGTTTGCCTGTTAGCAGGTGTTCCAAATGAAGTTGTCCAGAGAGCTGACAGTGTTTTGGAGGACATACATTCCAAGAAACCTATGAGGCGCGTGACCAGTGAGAAATTAACAGCAACAGACAAGCAGTACCAGGTGCATAACTTGGCGCACAATGACATTTAACGATAAAGAACATCTATTCTGATGTTACATATAAACTGGGGGAAAAGATGTGTTAACTGAATGTAATAATCTTTGTTAAATTTCAGGATGCAGTGACTAAACTGATGGCCTTCGATACACAGAAAGATGACCTGAACAGCTTCTTCCAGGAACTACTTCCCTCCGAATTGTAGCTCTGGAAATCAAGACTTGCCGCCAGTACTGGAACCTACAGGAAAAAGGGTGAAAGTTAGAATGAGTACCGGAACCTATAGCAAAAAGGGTGAAAGTTGGAATGCTATTTGTTGCATGTACCGCCGTTCATCTGTTGCGCTGTTAGCAGCTTTACATGTCTACTTATCGTGCTTGTTTCAGCGGTCTTCGGATGTTCCCCATCCTGATACTCGGAAGTGTCCAACTATAGAGTGAATGGAATTAGGGAAAGGTTAGATCATTTGTGTAGTCTGAGCACATTGCTGCCGCTTGGGTTTACGTATGACACGGTGATGCGAGATGTCAAAGATCACAGTATAATGTTGCAATACCTTTTCCCTTGACAATGTACAGGCTGACACAAAAAATGGACACGGCCTTGGTTTGGACTTTGGAGTCTACTTTAAAAAAAAAAAAAATGGAGTCTACTTTTTTGGTTACCTAATAACCAAACGCAGAAGTGTGATACCATCACACCAACAAGCATCTTCAGTGAAAGTCAGCGTTTTGTCGTATTTAGTTTATAAGTCATAACTTATCAGCCAACGAATGGTATTTTTTTCTCACACCAAACTAGTCAATCAGTACTTTTAGCCATAACTTATAAGACAAACCAGCCCAAGCGAACAGGGGCGAGTGTCGGCCATGGAACCTACTCGTGACGATCAACAGCTCAGGGTGTTGTGTGTCGTGTGACGATCTCACGGTCTTGCAAAAAGTAGCCTACATGGGCCGGTGGGCCTTGTTATACGACAATTTGTTTTTGACACTGATGTGCCCTGAGTGTCAGTGGGTCTTTCCTCTAAGAAATATATTTATTATCTTTTTATATTTCCTCTAAGAAAATATCATCTTGCATATTTTTGCATTTTAGTGCAAATGATCTAGTTTTTTCTAAAATTTAATACAAATCTTCTCTATTGATACATGCTTGGCAAAATATCGTACTTGTGTTTTTAAAATAATGTATGTACTAATTGTGGCGGAGCTTGAAGTAAAATAAAGAGGGGGGGGGGGCATTTGTCAATTAAATCTATATGTACATAAGTAGTGAAAAAAATGGGAGTACTTATAATTACGGAGGCAAGGGGGGCCATGGCCCCACGTAGCTCCACCAGTGTATACTAAGATTAAAGGTAACAATTTATTTCTTCTATCTCCCGCTCTCTCTCCTGATTGTCCATCCCTTCTCTTCCGTCTCTGAATCCATTGTTCCTCACTCTCGTCATCCTTACTTTGAGCTTAGATCTGCAAAACATTCATTAGCATTGCACCACTCCAACCTTTTTATTGGAGACATGCATGTGGCTTGCCTTCAACCTTCTAGAAATTTATAGAAGACACACAATAGACACCTGTTTAAGCTAAGTCAATCTCATGCCAGTTTTCCATACCGAATTTTTTTATTACACTAGCATTTATTATGGATGTTATAGTTTCTTTGATTTAAAATTAGATCAAATACAATAATTAAATCTAAAAGACGAGTTAATTATTATTGGCCCAGCATATTCCATACGGACATACTTGCTAGTAAAGTAAAATTTTGAAAGACGAGCAACCAATCAGAGTGCTTCGACCGTCAGTCGACGAAGATAGTTGCATTCCACACCATCCATTATTCAATTCCATTGAAAATCAAATAACTATGAAAAAGAAGTTCTACCGAAGCGAGCAAATAGTTTAAAAAAAACAAGAGAGGAAAAAGAATTAAAAAAAACCTCCGTCTCGAAAGGTCGGCAGGAATCCAGAGCCCCACAGTAGAGCCGTGTGGGGATGCATAATTAGGTCTTGTTTAGATTGAGTTTATGAATGAGTATTTGATATTGTAGTATTTTTGTTTGTATTTGATAATTATTGTTTAATTATAGTCTAACTAGGCTCAAAAAATTCGTCTCGTAATTTATAATCAAATTGTATAATTAATTATTTTTTTATATATTTATTTACTACATATATGTGTTAAAGATTTAATTGGACGAAGAGAAAGTGAAAAAACTTTGCACCTTCGGAACGGCGGTTCGCCCACCTAATTATACGCATCACACGCCTATAAAGCCAACAACCCGGTCGAGGGGCGCAAGCCAGACATCTCCTGGTCAAGTCTTATCCGCCTTTCGCCTCCAACCGCGTGCGCTCCACGCCTCCTCCAGGAACGCGAGAGGTGAGCACAGCCCCCCTTTCCCCTCCCTTCGATTCATTCGTCGTCGTCTCGTTCTTAGCCCTAGGATTTGGGGATCTAGAGGGGTTCGATCGCTTCTCGCCGCGAATCGGTATAACCAACGGATCTCGGATCGTTGTCTTCAGAAGGTCCCTAGTTTTGCGGTGTGTTCGTTTTTGTCCTATGATTCTTAGATAGAGGGATGGTTTTCTTAGATAGAGGGGATGGTTGTTCACGACCTCTGGGCTTCGGGGCGGTTGTTGAATTGATTGGATCTGTTCGGGATGGTGAGCAGCTGGGTTTTCGGGGGAATTTTTCTGCCTTGCAGTCACTCTGTCGAATCATGGGGTTCGACCCGATTCGTAGGCGTGCTCCCTGTTTAGGATGGGAAGTAGGCGTGTTTGTAGTGTTTGGGCTTCGATTCGTGAGAGAGAAGATCTGGGATGGGATTTGAGGAAATCTGAATATTTGTCTAGCACGTTTCTAGATCTATTGTTCAGCTGTTATATGAGAGTGATTTTGGAACCCTGGGGTATGTTTGACAGAGTATGGTGTAGATGATTGTCTGTAACTTGCTGATCGCTACCGTCCTATCTCTGCATCATCGATCTGTGCTAGTTTCTGTTTACTTCTCCAATGTTTCGGCTTGTGTAGCATGTGATTGATAGTATGATTTTGGCAGCTTCTGCTCAAGATCAACAAATCAAAGCGTGATCAGCTCGGTGCCAATCAAACCTCAACAACCAAGTTTCATGTCTGATCTCGACATCACGCTTCCATCTGCCTTTGGTATGTTTATTACTTTTCACATCCATGATTCCATGTTTTCTTACGTTGTGGTTTAGCATAGCATGTTCTAGTTTCCTAGTTTCCTGAATAGTATTACTGAATAGATTGATAACATGACATGCACGAATTTCATCTTGAGTTTGGTTCTTGTTGATCTATACATGTGTGCATGCGAATCTGATGGTGTGGCATCATCTCTGATAGATCCGTTTGCTGAGGCAAATGCTGAGGACTCTGGTGCTGGTCCCGGAACAAAGGATTATGTGCATGTGCGCATCCAGCAACGCAACGGCAGAAAGAGTCTGACTACAGTCCAGGGACTGAAGAAAGAGTTCAGCTACAACAAGATCCTCAAGGATCTCAAGAAGGAATTCTGCTGCAATGGTACTGTAGTCCAGGATCCAGAGCTAGGCCAGGTAAGATGCGAGAGCAATGCCTTTCAATTTCACAAAATGAAATGGTACCTGCTGGTTGTGGGTATACTGATGATGTGTTTGTCCTCTGCAGGTCATTCAGCTCCAAGGTGATCAGCGCAAGAATGTTGCTACTTTCCTAGTTCAGGTATTCAGAATCTTCAGAGCTGAATACTGTTTTGACAGACTGATAAATGCTGTCTGTTTATACTAATCATGTAAATTTTACTTGTCTTGATAGGCTGGGATTGCAAAGAAAGAGAACATCAAGATTCACGGGTTCTAAGGGACCTGTAAATGCTTGTGCCCTATATTGTGCGCCTCCACATATTGGGAAGCTTGAAGCAGCGACAATTACTAGTCATTGCTTTCTTATATAAAAACACAAGAACTATTGTCCTATTGTCAAGTGTGTCTTGCTTGATGCAAGTTGTGTTTTCGTCTCATTGTTATGCGCGGTCAGCATATGTGTATGGCTTGTACTATGGGTTATTGCCAACTTAATAAGAGTACTCCCTGTTTGGCTATAAGCGCTGATGTTTTGTCTCGTGCACTTGTTCTGAGTTGGTTTTTATTTGTAATTACCTCCTTGTAGCGCACGTGGTGATCTAGCTGTGAATCTTTTTTTTTTTTTTTTTTTTTTTTTTTTGGTGAATATCTAGCTGTGAATCTTGCTGGGTCCTCCGCTGGCGTCTGGTTGGTCTGCCGGATCGAGGCCGGCTCAGCTAGCGATGAAGATCCTGGGTGGCCCAGGTTCACGGGCGTCAGCTGCCGATCTCTCTGGTCATCAGAGCCGCGTAAGCCTAACGATGAGACCTCATTTGTCAGGTGTCAATTCTTCTCATGGTGCGAGCAACTCCAAATTACTCTTGCAGGATACAAGAGAGGTGGTCTGCAAGAGATGTGGTCTTTAAACCGCAGGATACAAGAGATGTGGTCTTTGAACCGCGAACTACTGTTGCCGGAATAACTCAGCATCAGTGCGCAGCACTGCGTGTTTTTAGCGCCAATGCAGGCTTCTAGATCTTAGTACAGCATAGTTCAAACATCCAGATTGGCGGACTGTGCACGGATTTCAGTTACTGTTCCTCTACAGTATAGATTACAAAATGTCCCGTTCAAATTCACCTGAGAGACACGGCGTAATATCGAGCCAAGACTGATATGCTTTGTATGGATCTGACTTCGAAAGAAAGAGAAACCGCACAGAGGAGCCGGCAAGGAGCTGACTTCGAAAGAAGAGAAACCGCACAAAGGAACCGGCAAGGAGCTAATAGCACTATTGAGTAAGGAGCTAATAGCACTATTTGAGTGACATCGGGAAAAAATATACTGTAAATAATACTACTGTTACATTTGATTACACGGAGCATCGGAGCTCACTATTTTTCTAAGCGAGCTAAATGCTTTACAAGGGCATGAATTAGGTACAGCGAGTGATGACACTCGATGGACAAGATACAACAACGGTACCTGCCCTATACTTGAAGGTGCCGCTCCAGATTACCTCCTCCACCAGGCAAGATCATGGTGTTCTCTTTGACAACGAAGAATATGAATGAGCATGCCATGCTATATCTTCTGTTCTAGCGCTTGGCGCAGCTGTACCTTACGTCCATTGGTCCTTGCGTTCAAGAGTTTGGACTTCAGCTTGCGCTTCTGGGTGCCTTGGGGCCATTCGACACCCCCTTTCATAGCGCGGACAACATGAGGGTTTAGCAAGTCTGGACTCCAGTCCCCAACACCCGGTGAGACTCGGCACACCTCACTGTTCTTGAGATCAGGAGAAAGAGCGGCATCGAGCATCCTGCTGCTTGAAAGCCTACCATTCAGTAACTCTGAACCTGTTTATCCTCCTGCCGTCGCCATTTGATGACCTCCAGAGTCGGGCAAAAGAAGACCCCTTCTTCGGGTGCTTCTCTCCAGTCGTCGAACAGACACCACTGATGCCACTATTTGATCTGCAGTTTTCACAATTATCTTCTTCCCAGTCGGTTCCACTTGCTGATGCATCGTTTCGTCCACAGAAACCGTTTACTGATGGTTCACTTCCACCAGGTGAATTGCTAGACCCTTGCTCCTCTACATGGCTGACTGTCTCCCATCCACTGTCATCGTCATCCTCATTTCTGGCACAAGGTTCAGTGGAATATTTGTTTGCTGGTTTTTCCAGAAAGATGTCAGTTTCAGGACTCACTGTATGGATCTTTGTTGCATGGCTCAAGGGAGTATCTCCATTACACTGTCCAATTTCCTTCTCACTAATATCTTCTCTCTGTCTGAGTTCCTCAAACGCAGCAAAAATGTCCTCTGAAGGAGGTGGTGGTTTGTATGAGAACTCTTTACCATGAAGCTTCATTGAGCTAATTGCTTCCCTGAGCCCTTCACCATCTCTTACTGTTTCTTTGTCTACACTGCTGCCTCGGTGGAAACTGAGGAAAGCCTCCAGGTTAGCCTGAAGCTCACTCAGCTGTGAATACTTGCTGTCTAATGTCAGTTTAGCATCCACAAGCTTCATCTGTACCCTCTCTTCACGCCAAACCTCTGCCATCTGTAGCATCTTCCTTTCTTCCTCCACCTCATCTCTTATCTTCATTGACTCTTTCTTCAAAGCTTCGACCTCAGCTTTGTCGTCTGCAATGTCCTTCGCTAATTCATCACACACCTCCTCCATGAGTTCCCTGGCCTTTCTTTCCTTTTCATAATCTTGAAGATATCGTTTAGCCAATGACTTCAGCTCAGAGAACTCATCCATCAACTTTGAGTTCATGACTTCGGCCCTTTGTCGATTCTTCCTCTCTCGATTCAGATCCCCTTTAACAGCATCTAAGATGCTTCGAACCTTATCATGCTCCCTACTCCTCCAGGAAGCCTTTTCCTCAGCGAGATTCTTCACCAAGTGGTCAAGCTTCTTCTTAGCTGATCGGCTCTCAGCTTCAAGCTCATGAATCTGGTTGCGGGCCTGCATAAGCTCTTCTTTAAGTGCAGAGATTTCTTCATCAGCAGCTGCTGCATGACGATCACAGAAATCGTAGTCAGCACCGCCAGATGTGTTCAGGCATCGACGGTCCCATTTTGTTGCTACTTCCATTTCAATTCGGGGTGATGGAGAATAAGGTCCAACCTAATTGTAGTTCATAATCATTTCATCAAATAAGACTGGATCAGAAAGGAAGGTGGTAGTCCATACCAGAAATAATAATTTATGAAGGAGACATATACCTCACGAATGATGCCATTGCCAAGAGGCTTAGTTCCTGTCCTGCCCTCAAGGACCGCTTTGTAGTAATTGCAACGATCCGGAGTATGCAGATGCCTTGGGCTAGGCTGCAAAATTAATTCCCTGTTAGTTCACCACTAATACTTAATAAGAAGTATGTTGCTGGTATTACAGAAGTCGTATGCAAAATGGAGTAAAACTTGTCAAAATCCGTCCACTAGGATGTCTTCGTTTCACAACTAATATCTGGGGACCGCACAGGTTACATCGCCCTGTACATTGACACATGGAAATATGGGGATGTCACATCTTCAGGCCCAGCTGAAAGGGACATACGGAAAAGAATCCAAAGCAGACTGGAATGATTGGTCCAACTCAGAAGAACTTACTATAATCTAGCATAAAACTCAACATGATTGGTCCACACTCCACACAGACGGAGACTGCTCTTCCTCAAGAAGCCAAAATTTAAGCAGCTTGTAGTTCGGTGCTTGACATGGAAATATCAAATATCAAATATGTCGAGGCAAATTCACGAAAACCATGGAATTACGCAATCACAAAGTGCAAACAACGAGAATTTCAAGAGCTTACGCTAGTTAGCAAAACTGCTACGAAATTTGCAGAAGCAACAACCAATCCCTTTGCTAGTGGATGAAAAAAATTGCCAAGCTTTAGGAACATTCAGCTCAAAAAATTCAGAGAATCGCCCCACCTCCCCCCAACAACGACAAAAACCAAAGAAACGTACACTACGACTCAAACAAACGAACACTACGACTCAAACAAACGATCACAATTCACAAACCACCCAGCCACTCAGTGTCGTACTCTCATGCTACTCGAAGCTGCCTCTCCGCGAAAATCGCGAGCTCAGCAGCACAAAACACTCCCGAAAAACGAGCCCGCTATCGCGGAACACACAACAGAACGGCCACCTGAGACCCCTAGAAGCCTGGAACGCAACAACGCGCACGGATCTCGAATCGAGAACAGCAGGCTCACCTCCAACCGTCGCCGCGGTTTCCCGGGCTCCCGCGGCGGCGGGTGCGGGTGCGCCCGCCACAGCGACGCGGCGATCCTCCTCACGGACGCGGCAGCGCCTGCCCCGCGGGGCGCCACGGCGTCCCCGGGCCAACGGAGCGGCGGGGTGGCTGGCGGCGGCGCGTGCGCCGGGGCGGGGGCGGGGGCGCGGCGGGCGGAGGCGAGGGAAGGGCTCTGGATGCCGCGCAGCCGGCGGCCGCGGCGGGGCGGCCGGGAGGGGGACGACGCCTGGCGCGGGGTGGCGGCGGCCCGGCGGCCATGCGCCGCCCTGGCCGGAGACCTCATCGCCACCGGGGACGAGCGGCGGGGTCGTGCCATGTCGATGTCGTCGGCCGCGGCTCACCACCGAGACGGCGCCGAGGGCAGTGGCATTGCCGCGAATAGCGCGCGGACGGACGGGGTGGGGTGGGTTGCGCGCCGCGCGGGGTGTAGGCGCGCGAGATCTACTACCAGTGGTGGTGGCCCGGCGAGACGACTGGTACTACTACTCCATAGTTGTAGTAGGCCTGTGAGGTGAGGAGGCTGGACGCTGGAGAACATGGGCACGGGAAAGAGAAGTGGGGACTGGAAATATTTTTCCGCCCTTTTTCTTGTTCTTTTTGCTATGGTTCTTAGATCATGTGGATTATTGGGCTGTGCGAGCTGAAGTGTTTTTTTTTCTTTTGGGGTGGGTGGAAATTGGAATGGTACATAACATGGGCACGGGAAAGAGAAGTGGTAACTGGAAATATTTTTCCGCCCTTTTTCTTGTTCTTTTTGCTATGGTTCTTAGATCATGTGGATTATTGGGCTGTGCGAGCTGAAATGTTTTTTTTCCTTTTGGGGGTGGGTGGAAATTGGAATGGTACATAAGGTTAAACTATTGTGTTTGTACAATATTCTTGTGCAAGTATGTGCTTTTGTTAGGTGCCATTTTTACGTGGAGTTGTTTTTTCACATTAGCTTTCGATGATTTTGTTTCTCAAGAGTGAAACAATAGCTAATACCTAAAGTCCTAAACCACACGGTTGCATGAGTACCTTGCTAACTTAACTCGCACACATAAATCAAACTAGCCAAGTCAATTGCTAAAGCACCTCACCGTGTGTTTCTACATCTAGCGGCGCTTCTGAGTTCTGACAGTGAGATTTCAACGGCGCGACATGGATAAAATACTGTAGATCGGTGGTGGTTGCAGTTCCAGACTCGCAGCCCTGTGCATTTGCTACTTGCTAGCTCGGCAGACAATCGGACCGTTGGTGCAGGACGCCTGAACGGCACGGCCATCGCACACACGTGCTTCGATCGTTCCATACAGCCATACGCCCGTACTGTACAGGGGAAGCCTTTTCCTTCATGTGGCTTCCCCTTCATGCATGGTCCTTAATTCGCCTCCCTTGAGAGGCAATAAGAACACGGGTTCAGTCGTTCAGCTCAGTGATCTCGTCGAGTTCTGCTTCGTCGATTGAGGAATCTGTAGTCTGTCTCTCTCTCTCTGCATTTGCTACCTTCTGCACCTATTGACCTGACGTACCAAACATCGGAGATACCAAGCAGCAGGGTCCGCGTACAAACCGATGATACGGCACATGCTCGGTCCTGCCGGCCAACGCGACGACGCTGCCAAACCACCCCCCTCCTCGGTCGGCGTCGGGGCTCCGGACCACGGGCCAACGTGCCGAAAAGCAGCCGGATCAGACGGGGCTCCATCGACTGGATTTCGACACCAAAGCCGCAAATGCATGCATCGCTGGGCGCTGCCCGTCACGGAGTTCGTGGTGTGCCCCTTCAATTCAATTAGCTAGCGGCTACCGGCTAGGAGGGCCGGGGAAGCGCTGAGACTGAGATCGAGCTCGTCACATGAAAGTGAGGGGCCGTGTGGGCTTTGCATAAATACTAGCATACCGACTGGTCCAGTGCCTAGTCGGTGCAGAATAGTGCGCCGTAGCATTGTAGTTGTACAGTGTACTGCGCCATCCGGATCCGGCGGTGCTAATTTCAGGATCGCAGAAGCTTGTATAGGAGCTAATGGCGTTGTGCTCCACCTACTCCATGGGTATGAGTTGGTACTGCTACTAATAAGCAACGGAACAGAGGGTATGTAGTACGTACTCTCCAAACTTCACCCTACTCGGAAGGCAGTAAACGATCGTGGTTTATTTATTGTTGATTTGATATGAGAGAAAAACACTGTTTTAACTGAAAATTTAGAATCGTTTATGACCAAATGAGCAGGTTGAGTTGGCCCAACAAAAAAAAAAGTTTTGAATTTTGAATATCTCTGTCGCATTGCGGAACTGGCGCGCACGTATCCTGCCATACGCCTGTGAAAATGATGCGTGTCAGTGTGCGCGTGTGTGTTTGCGCCACCTTGACACTACATCAACTATAACTCTGTTGTGCGCTTGCTTGCTTGCCCAGATGTGATTGAGGCTGATTTCCCCCCTTTTTATATATAAAAAAAACTCCCATTTGTAGCTTCTCCCGTCGCCAACGTCGCAAGGTGACACAACGCACAACTACGCAAGTTCAGTAGTTCATCGTGTTCCAACCTCTGACACCTGATCTCTACTGCAGCAGAAAATGGAGCTCCGAACCAAGCTGCACCACTGCCTCAATCTCCATGCCGGGCGGCGGGCCCCGAGGGTCGAGGACAGTGTGCGAACAGGGCGGGGAACATCCGAACGTGGCACTGGCGGCCGCCATTTCCTCGGCTAGGTGGGGGCGGCCGGCGTTTTCACGGCGGTCTCGGGGCCGCCGCTTGGCCGCTTGTGCGTGCCTCTGGTTGGCGGATTGATCGACACGAGCAGGCGGAGACCCACAACTACAGGAGGGTCAAGCGGCACAACTTCTGTCCATCTGCAGGATACAGATACACTGTGATGTGGTGCTGATGAGCTGGCAGCAGTTTTGCTTTTGTCAATGTCAACAAAGGAGTACTAGAGTCACATCTTAGGCCATGCTTAGTTCTATCAAAACTCCCAACTTTGACACTATGCAAAAAAAAGATTCCCCGTCATATTAAACTTGCGGTACATGCATGGAGTACTAAATGTTGACGAAATAAAAAATTAATTGCACAGTTTGGTTGTACTTTGCGAGACGAACATTTTGAACCTAATTAGTCAATGATTGGACAATTATTACCAAATAAAAACAAAACGCTACAATGTAACTACAGTGCTGAAAATTCCGGCGGCCCCGATTCATGAGGCAAACTAAACGCGGCCTTACTGTGCGAAATGGTTCGCCTGGATTTCAGGCTATGCTGCACAGACAGACTGCAGTGGTTTCAAAAACTGAAGAGGCACAGACTCTGCGATGTGTTGTTTCGCACTGGAACGTGAGTGCACGAACGAAGCTGCAGGCGCCCCAACTTGTCGTGAAGAAAAGAAGCTACTACTACTGGTTGTATCTAGTAGCGTGGGGACTGAAGCCTTTGGGATGCTTCCTTTTGGTGGTAGCAGCTTGCTACTAGCGGTAGCGCGTCCGTTGAGCCGCAAAGCCAGGAGATGGAAAGCTTAAAGGGAAACCATGCAATGCAATCATCGTGGCACACTCGGCAGCGTAGTGGTACTAGAACAGGAAGAGAAACACTCGGCAGCGTATCGTGGCGCTCGCAATTTGCATCACGAGCGAGCTTGTGGTTTGATTGGTCAAGGGGAGCATCGATCACGCGGCCATGTGTCATGTGCGGCAGCCAGCCCCACAGGATTATGAGATCCGCCACCATTCTCGCTTGACTAAGAAACTGCAAGATGGTCCTCGCTGCTGCTTAGAAGTATTCCGTTGCTGTTATCTTTAGCTGACTCAGTTTTCTTCTTGGTTTCACTCATGCTGCGTCGGGATCCGAAAGAAATAAGCTAGGTTCAAGTCTGCAGCATTGTAGCTTGAGATGTTGGCAGGAACCAGGCAGTGGACGATGTTTTTCGGGACGTTTGGACGATGCATCATTAAGGAGGAGTAGCTCTATTGATCAATGGGTTACATATATGGATGGGTTAGGTAGCAACTCTCGTAGATGGGAAGGGGTTACTACGGAGTATAGTTTAAGCAAGCATATGGATAGTGGTTATGCGCGACACTGGGACTTGAGGAGGAAAAGGAGAGGTTTTGATGTTTTGCATGCGCGCGTGTTGTTTTTGACCTTGATTTGCTTGAGATGATGGTACAGTACTACTGCTACTAGCTAGTAGGAGTTGTTAATTGCATCGTAGGCATGATTTAACTTTAATGCAGAATTTATGTCACCTAGTATTAGTAGGGACTAGCTTGGCTAATCTGAAAGGCAGTGCAGCTTATGAAATTAATGCAGAATTTAAGTCACTATTAGTGTCCTAGGACGTCTCTAAGCTCAGAGGTTAGAGCGTAAAAACATCCACTGCCGGTAGCATCTTTTTGTTAGGGTATACGGTTAAGCATCTCGATATCTCTCTCTTCCATGGATGGGTTCACTGTCATCGCTACTTCACCTGTATGTTCGTCGCTGCTGCCACTTTCATCCATAAAGTTCCAACGCCACACCAAGTAGCACACATCGAGTCGAGAATGCGAAGATGGTCGGACGACTCAATATACAGTCGTTGGGCCTCCCAAAAAACAAACGGGCCAAACATGGGCCATATGTACCAAGCAACACAATACAAAAAGGAGGACGAACTGCATCAGAAGGGCTGTTGAATGACTAGATGATGAAACCGGCAGTAGCGAGCTTACGCTCGAGTCGAGCTTTTCTCGATTCTACACCTTCCAACTTCTTCTTCGTCCAATATACTACCTGGATAATTATGCAAACTCACGTTTCTTTGCTATTTGAGTGAATTTGTACTGTGTTACTACCATCTCACATCAAAGCCATCAGTCCATGGTGACGATTAGCTACACCACATGTACCCGCATCGTCTCGAGGATATGACTGGCTACGACTGAGTCCCTAATTTGCTACTCCCTCCATTCCAAATTATAAGTCGCTTTGATTTTTTTTTTACATCCATTTTGCTATGCATCTAGACATACATTAGATCTAAATGCATAGCAAAATGAATGTATCAAAAAAATTAAAGCGATTTATAATTTGGAACGGACTCTGGTGTAGTTGGCTGATTGATGAACCTAAGACGAAGGGACTCGGATCGTCCGGCCCACTCACTAGTCGGAACGTACCCGACTGGCTCCTGACTTCAAGATCCTAGAGTGGTCATAGGACAACCCCGCAACTTCTGTCACCAAGACGGGAATGCCCGGCCAGGACGAGGGGCCTATTGGCTTGTTCAGCAGCACTCCGCGTGAGAAGCAATGGAACATTG